TGGTTTATTGGAGATCAGAGTGTCAGGGAGGAGGTGACTTGAGACTCTTACCTACCCCGGCCTCCTAGAGGAGGCAGAAAATTGCCCCTACTGAGGGATGGGAAGGAGTCCTCTCCCCTCTTCCCTGGCACCAGCCTTGCTGTCGCTGCTCTGAGTCCCCAGTTTGTGCCACCAGGACAGACTTTCGAGGCCGCACGGGCTCTGCCAGGCTTGGTGGGTCAAGGGCGCCTTGGCTCTGCCGCCCGTGCTTTCGCTAAGGCATGCGCAGTCCGCCTTTTTTCCCTGACTCACTGATGAACTGGCAGCTACCCCAGGAGCCTCACACTTGCTGTTCCTCATTGCTTCAGCTGATCGCCTTGCAGTGTCCCTTCCATCTGTGTCCAGCATCGCCACCTCCCGGGACACTGTGGCCACCCTGTCTAAAAGGACAGCCTCCACGCTCTGCCTGCTGCCCTCATCTTTTCGCACTTTCACTACTTGATGCGGATAATTCCTTATGTAGCACACACTTATTCATCTCTCTCCTGCAAGGGCAGGGGCGTTGCTGGCAGGAGCTGCCCTCAGCCCCATCGCAGAGCAGCTACTTGGTGAATGTTCGTACAGTGATCAAAACACTTCCAAAAACTTTCCAAGCCTAGAAGAAAAGAAAAGGCAGTGTCTTGAGGTGCACCTGTCCCTGATCTATTATTCTGAGCGTGCAGAGGAGAATCAAAAACTCCATCAGTCCTCCTCACAGAAGTGCATTTGTGAAATTATTTGTTGCTTCTCGGCTGGTCGGTAGGGTAAGCTCGTGAGGAACCACAGAGCGGCAGGTCCCGTGACCAGCACACAACACTGCGGGATTAATGCCGAAGCAAGCGCATTTGTTAATGGCCCGGTTGAGCTGTGGTCTACAACATTAAATGGAGCCGGAGATCATTTGATATCCATTAGTCAGATAAATTAATTCCTCCAGCGGCGCTAAATTCCTTTATAATAGAAAAGGGATGACAGATACTTTTTAAGAAAATAATGTTGGGAAGAGAACAAAGCACAAGGCGTTTAGGGAATTAATTTGCATTTCTTCAAAAACTCAGGTTCCCCAAAACTACAGGATGTTGTTAATCGTGTTTGGGGCCATGGTGGCTGCGGTGGAGCCCCCAAGGTGGCCCAGCAAGGCAGTGGGACACACAAGCCCTTGGAACAGAGAAGTCCAGTATTTTTCCCACTCATGCACCCAATAGAATTGAGTAACTTTTTGGGGGGGGCCAGTCCTGGGGCTTGAACTCAGGGCCTGGGCACTGTCCCTGAGCCTCTTGCTCAAGGCTAGTGCTCTACCACTTGAGCCAAAGCACCACTTCTGGCTTTTTCTATGTCTGACACAGAAGAATCGAACTCAGGTCTTCATGTGTGCTAGGTGAGCACTCTACCACTGAGCTGCCTTCCTCCCCCCCCCTCCCATTCCCTCTCACTTTCTTTTAAAAAAAAAAATGCTAGGTGTTTTCAAGATCTCAGGCAGGGTTTCAATGGCTCACGCCTGTCATCCTAGCTACTCAGAAGACTGATATCTGAAGATCGGGGTTCAAAACCAGCCCAGGCAGGAAAGTCTATGAGACTCTGATCTCCAGTAAACCACTAGAAAACCCAGAAGTGGCACTGTGGCTCAAGCGGTAGAGTGCTCACCTTGAGCTGAAGAGCTGAGGGACAAAGCCCAAGCCCAGAGTTCAAGCCTCATGACTGACAAAAAAATAAAAAAGGAGGTGGGTCTAGCCAGATGCTGTGGCTCACACCTGTAATCCCAGCTACTCAGGACTTTGGTGTGTCCGGGTGGAAGGCAATACCACGTCAACAACCAAGCCCAGCAGGGTGGTTCAGGTCTGTCTATAATCTCAGCTCCCTGGGAAGGCTACCTGGGAGGAGAGCAGTTCAAGTCAGTCCTGGGCAAAAATGTGACTACCTGAAAAATGAGTGCACGTGTGTGCACAAGCGCGCGCGCGCACACACACACACATACACACAAGGTTGGGCGTGTAGCTCAAATGGTAGAGACGGTAGAGTCCTTGCACTACCACAGACAAAGATATTTACATATCTGAAAGCAAATGAAAATAAGTGAAAGCTGTTTAAAGAGGCATTTGCCCCCGAGCAGGGTTCTACAGAGTCCCTCTCTCGTGCCCCACTGCAGCTTTTCTTTGGGGCTACGACGTTTTTATTTACAAGCGGTTCAGACTTCTCCCTGCCCACTTCAGAGCCGAAGAGGAAGTTTCACGCATGCATTTGATCGCACAAGGATGGCATCTGGATTTACCAGGCTTTGGATTGCAGAGATTCCCTCTTGCTCCTCCCTTTAAAAGTAAATCTGATAAATTAAGCAAGCGAAAGCTTGTTTTTCTAAAATGGTTACATAAAAAACCTACACCCCTTTTATTCTCTCAGTCTTGAAATACCTATTTGATTACACAGAATTAAAAGGGGTGGAAAATCACCCAAGTGCGAGCTGCCCTCTAGTGGCAAAAGAAAATAGTTAATCTATTCTCAGCCTGAGCAAAAACCTCTTATTTAAAATTCCAGTTGCAAACTTCAAGTTCTAAAACTACACACACACACACACACACACACACACACACACACACACACAGTCGGGCACCGGTGGCTCACGCCTGTCATCCTAGCTACTCAGAAGGCTGAGATCTGAGGATCGAGGTTCAAAGCCAGCCTGGGCAGGAAAGTCCATGAGACTCATATCTAATAAACCACCAGAAAATCGGAAGTGGCGCTGTGGCTCAAGTGGTAGAGCGCTCGCCTTGAGCTGAAGAGCTGAGGGACAGCACCCAGGCCCCTGAGTTCAAGACCCATCATAAACAACCAAAAAACAGAAAACCTATATGTGAAGTATATATCTACACACACCTATATATGAAACACAAACATCCTATCTCATCTTGTTTTTTTCCCTTTGTGCTGGTGCTTGAACTCAGGGCTCTCTCTCTTGGCCTTTTCAAAGCTGGTATTAGAGCTGCACTTCGGGCCTTTTGCAGCGAGCGGTGACCCTACACTGTGACGTCATCTCGGCTTAGCCCTTCCGTTTTCCTAGTTGGTCCTTTCCTGGAGTTGACTTTATAATGACCAGGAACAGGAGTTCAGGAAGGGGCAGAGGTGGAGCCATCGTGGTTTTCTTGTCTCTCTGCTCCTGGAAAAGTATGGCGCTTTCATTGTACTCTTCTTCAGGATGTGCTGTCCTGTTCCTCTTGTGAATGACTGATTATTAAATAATTCAGTGCTCTCTTTCCTATTTCCCTTTAAATCTTCTCCCAGAGGCAACGATTGTATTATGCCTCATGTATATCTCTTGGTACTCCTCTGATAAAATGTGATTTATTGCTTGCTCTGTGTGCATGTATTTTTTATTTGAATGATATGCCATATTATCTCTCATTGTTTTCCTTCTCATTCAGCACATACCATTGAAATCAATTTACACGGTTGTGTGCACATTTAACCCACCATTTTAACTGTTGCCTAATACTCCATGTTGTGTATTTGCTGCTCCTCCCACAAATGATGAATTCTTCCTTATAAACCACCAGGGAAAGAAGGATGGGAGGTAGTCAGGGAGAGAATTTTGGAGTTATAGGATATGAAGATAGTTAAATTGCCTGGAGCACCAAATCACGCTGCAGAAATGGCAAACCAATCTGTACTTCCAACAGTAAAGACCGTGAGTAGTAGTAGAAAAGCAATAAAAAAGGCTTTCTGCTTCTACCCTAGACTCAACTTGCTGATATCCCGGTCACTATCACACACTCTAGGTTTCTAGACCCAAGTATCACACTGGTTCTTCTATCAATACCTACATTGTTGAGCGACTTCACAGCACTACTGTTAATCTTGGGCTGGACATTTTTAAAAAATAATTTTTATTGAGATTAAATGATTACATAGATTTCACAAAACTCACAGTATTGTGGCATAGTGATAGTTAAAAGTCACAAACACTTTTTCACCCTCACGAGGCACATTGTCATTACAGCTATTTTTTCCAAATGGGGTGATTTCTTTGCTTTTGCTGAGTGTCAGCTGTTCCCCCGTTCTCTCTCATTCCCTCCCTCCCATCGCTGCCCTTGAGTTGCTTGCTTCACTTTCGTGAATGTTCAGCGCAGCTGATGGGCCTCTCTGCTGTGGTTTCCCCCGTTTCCTTCTGATTCTGCAACTGGACATTTCTGGCACACACGTGTACTTCCAGCCACTCAGGAGGCTGAGACCTGAGGATCACAGTTGGAAGCCAGCCTGGGCAGGAGAGACCAAAGAACCACCCAGAAAGAGCCGCCAGTGTGCAGCCCGGCCTGGAGCCGAGGACGCTCCAGAGGCAGCGCCGCCCGGGCCCTGAGTTCGAGGGCAGGCAGCTCCCCGGCGCACCCCGCCCCGCGGGCCGGCGGGTCAGGGCGGGCCAGGGCGGGCCGTGGGCGCCGAGCGGCTCCCCGGGCGGGACTCGAACTCGGGACCTGACACCCCCCCCCACCTCGTGCGGTCAGTGCACGCTGAGGGCGCACGCCCACTTCCGCTCCCTGTGCGTGTGTGTGTGTGGGGGCCCTGCCACGTGACCCTCCCCGGCCAGCCTCCCCTCCGCGGACCCCGGTTCAAAGCCAGCCCCGGAACCAGCAAAAAGCCGGAAGTGGCGCCGTGGCTCAAGCGGCGGAGCGCAAAGCTGGGGGGGGGGAGCAGCGCCCGGCCGCGTCCCCACCGCGCCCCCCCCGTCCCCCCCCCCCGTCCCGGCCCGGCGGGCCGCAGAGCCACGGCCCGGGCGGCCGCCGTCCCCGCGCCCGGCCGCGTCGCCGCGCGCGCGCCGGAAGGCCGGCGGGGGAGGCGGGGCCCAGGCCGGGGCGCCGCCGGAAGTCACGTGGGCCGCGGCGCGGCCGGCGCGTGCGCGCGCGCGCGCTCGGCGTTCGATTGAGCGGGCGTGTCCGGGCTCTGGCGGGCTCCCGCCGGGCGATCGGCGCGCTCGGGGCTCGGCTCGCCCGCGCTGCCGCCGCCGCCGAGGAGGAGCGCGGCGCAAGATGGCGGACAAGACGCCAGGCGGGTCGCAGAAGGCCGGTTCGAAGGTAACCTCGCCGCGGCCGGGGCGGGCCGGCGGCCCTGGCGGCGGGGCGGGCGCCCTGCGACGGCCGGGCGCGCACGGGGCGCCGGGGCGGGTCCCCGAGGCCTGCGGGGCGCGGGCGGAGCGGCCTGCGGGGCCTCGGCCGTGCGCGGCGGGCCGGGGTGCGGGCGGGGCCCGGGGCCGGCGGCGGGGCCTGCGGCCGGGGCGGGATCGCGGCCCTGGGCCGAGGCCCGCGGCCGGGGAGCGCGCCCGCACCCCGCGCCGCTCCGGGGCCGGGCCTGGGACTCGAACTCGGGGCCCCGGGGCCGCCCGCGAGCCGCTCGCGCCCCCGGCGGGCGCCGCCGCGGTACCGCGCGCCGCGGGCCTCCCTCAGCCCCCGGGCCGGGCCCCGCAGCCGCCACGGGGCCGGGGCCGGAGCTGCTCCCCGAGAGCGCCGCCGCCGCCGCCGCCGCGCGGGTCCCCGGCGGCGTCAGAGGGGGCGGGGCGAGGGCCAGCGCCGGGCCGAGGCCGCCCCGCCGCCTCCGCGTGGCCGCCTGGGCCGGGGTCGGTCCGGGGTCAGGGATCCCGGGGGTCCGGGGTCAGGGTCCGGGGTCAGGATCCGGGGATCCGGGAGTCTGGGGTCAAGGGGGCGGGGACCCCGGGGTCATTGATCCTGGGGGTCCGGGTCCGGTCCGGGGTCAAGGGTCCGGGGTCAAGGGTCCGGGGTCCCAGAGTCCGGGGGCCGGGTCCCGAGGTCCCGGGGGCCGTCATCCGGGGTCCGGGATCCGTCATCCGGGGTCCGGGGCCGGGCCTTCACACGCTCACCAGGAAAGCAGCCAGAGGAGCCCCAGGCAGCGGCTTCTTGCTGACCCTCAAGGGCACCACGCGTCCCCCCCGTGAGGAGCCCCCCCGTGTGCGTGCGTGTGTGCGCGTGTGCGCGCGTGCGCGCGTGTGCGTGTGCACACTTGCCCGGCGTCAGGCCGTCCCCTCCCCGCAGCGCGCCCCCGCAGCTCTGGACGGGACCGGGCCCCGCCGGCTCCCGGGGTGCGCGCCGGCTCCCGGGGTGCGCGCCGGCTCCCGGGGTGCGCGCCGGCTCCCGGGGTGCGCGCCGGCTCCCGGGGTGCGCGCGGGGCTTGGGCAGCGGGCGGAGCCCCCTCCCCCGGGCGCACAGCCCGCACTCCGCCGCGCAGGGGAGGGACGCCGGGGCTGCGGCCCGCAGCCAGTGCTGACCCCTAGGGCTCGGTCCGAATCCATGGACGGGTTTCGGCCGGTTGGGGGCCCGTCCCGAGCCGCCTCCGCGCAAGGCCAGTGCTCTCCGCTTGAGCCACAGCACCACTTGTGGCTTTTCTAAGTTTACTGGAGATTAGAGTCTCAGGGGCCTTGCTGCTCTTGGCTGGCTTCAAACTGTGACCCGCAGACCTGGGCCTCTGAGTAGCTCCGTGACAGGCGGGAGACTGGCTCTTGATTGGTTTTTCTTTCTGTTGTTTTTGGGTTTTTTTGTTTTGGTCATGGGGCCTGAACTCTGGGCCTGGGCGCTGTCCCTCAGCTCTTCAGCTCAAGGCGAGCGCTCTACCACTTGAGCCACAGCGCCACTTCCGGTTTTCTAGTGGTTTATTGGAGATCAGAGTCTCAAGGAGTTTCCTGCCTGGGCTGGCTTTGAACCATGATCCTCAGATCTCAGCCTCCAGAGTAAGTAGCAAGGATTACAGGCGTGAGCCACCGGCACCGGCTCTTGATTGGTTTTTAAAAGTCCAACTTTTCTTGAGCCACAGCGCCACTTCTGGTTTTCTAGTGGTTTATTGGAGATCAGAGTCTCAAGGAGTTTCCTGCCTGGGCTGGCTTTGTACCACGATCCTCAGATCTCAGCCTCCAGAGTAAGTAGCAAGGATTACAGGCGTGAGCCACCGGCACCCGGCTCTTGATTGGTTTTTAAATTCTTTTTTTTTTGGTCCGGTCGTGGGGCCTGAACTCTGGGCCTGGGCGCTGTCCCTCAGCTCTTCAGCTCAAGGCGAGCGCTCTACCACTTGAGCCACAGTGCCACTTCTGGCTTTTTTCTTTTTTGCTTATGTGGTGCTGAGGAATCGAACCCAGGGCCTCATACATTCAAGGCAAGCGCTCTACCACTGAGCCACCTTCCCAGCCCTTGATTGTTTTTTAAAAGTCCAGCTTTTCTTCTGGTTTTTATTTTTGGAACTTTTTTTTCCCTTGGTGCCAGTCCTGGGCTTGAACTCAGGGCCTGGGAGCTGCCCATGAGCTTTATTACTCAAGACTGGTGCTCTGCCATGGAGTCTTATTTCCACTTCTGGTTTATTTGGTGGTTAATTGGAGATAAGAGTCCCCCAGGCTTTCCTGCCCAGACTGGCTTATAATCTCTGTCCCAGATCTCAGCCTCCTGAGTAGCAAGGGTTACAGGTATTGCCTGAAATAAGTTTTTTCTTTCCTTTTGTAGGTGTTGGGGCCTTGCACAGACTAAGCATGCACTCTTATCAGTGAACTACAACCGCAGCCCTGAAATAACATTTTTGAAACCTAGATACATTTTCCAGTACCACTTGAGGATATTGTAGTGTTAGCTATGTGTGCTTAAGAAGGTAAAAACAATTGAAGTACCTCATCTGCTCGAAGTGTACTTGAGGCTTTCGTGTATTGGTAGTGCTTTGGATGTAATTTGAAAGTGTTTTAGGGTTGTTTCTGTGACGCTTTTCTCCAGAGGCAGAATCTTTGGCGTGGGTAGTAATGCTCAGTAATGCTCAGCTGCTGCTGCGTGTTCACAGGTGGACTGCGCAGCGTGCTGACGGTGGTGTGTGGTCTTGTTGGACAGGCTATTGTTTGGGTGGGTCAGTCAGTAGTTACATTGAGGCTCTGTCCGTCGCTTGCTGAATCTTGCACTTGGTGTTGAGGTAGGAAACGTTGGACTCTTAGACAGTGCCCGCCTGTGGGGAGCATGCCCTTCTAGGGGAAGGGAGCCCTAGGACCAGGCGTGGAACGTGAGGAAGTGGCACCTGATTGGGTGGTGGGCGGGAGAGGGAGCTCCAAGGGCATGGATTCGAGTGGTTGAGGCCTTTGAGCAGCCAGCAGGAGTTTTGAAGGCTGCAGACAGGGCCATAAAAAACCTGAGCCAGGGGAAGGGAGGGAGTAAAGGGAAATGGATTGGGAAGTGGTTGGGTTTGGCTGGTGGGTCGGCGCTTACTGGGAGAGTGAGAGGAAGTACGACTGGGGGAGCCTCGGAAGTCCCGCCTCAGGCCTCTCCTAACCGGCTCCTTTCTTCACCCCCTTGGGAGAGTGGCGGCCTCTCCGAGTGCTAGGGGAACAGGACTTTTTTTCCTTTTTTTGTCAGCCATGGGGTCTGAACTCTGGGCCTGGGCGCTGCTGTCCCTCAGCTCTTCCCACTTTTGGCTTTTCTGTGTATGTGGTGCTGAGGAATCGAACCCAGGGCCTCATGCACGGGAGGCAAGCGCTCTACCCCTGAGCCACCTTCCAGCCCAGGAACAGGATGTAACTCTGCTTGTCACGGGGCATGAGGAAGGGCGACCCTGAGACAGGGCGGCTGTGGGCCAGCTCTCACGGGGCAGTCACAAGGAACGCTGCTCCTAGCTGCTCTGCCCGTCTCCAGTCCTCCACAGCAGTCCTCAGGGCGGTGTTGCTGCACTTTACACAGGAAGGATGCAAAGCTGGCAAGTGTGATCAGACACCAGGAAGGCTGCCTCCAGAACCCAGGCTCTAGCATTTCTCTACTTCCAGATTGTAGTGATTGGCAGTTACCCTCTGTGTCAGAAATAAGGACAAGGGCAGAATTTGAGATACATGAAACTTGAGAAGCTTGTGGGCATTTAGGAGGAGATGGGTGGGACTTTAAGGTGACCCAAGTTGAAGGTTGGGAACTAGAAACCTCGGTCAGGCAAGGCATCGGTGTGCCTCCAGGCCAGGGCTTGTGAGGTCCAGGGAGAGGGGGAAAGTGACGTTTCCAGGGGAGTGGAGCTGTTGGGGTGGACAGCGGTGGAGGAGGGCAGATTGGTGCGGGGAGCACGTGTTCATTTGAGAACTAGGTGCGGGGCTTTCACTTGAAGTAAGGTGGAAGCCGCAGGAAATGGTTCCAGCCTTTCTGCTTAGCCAGGGTGATGTGGTGCCCATCGGTGAAGCGCTGTTGACTTTGCCTCCTGATCTCATTGCTGGCGGCTAGAGCCCGTATGCCACGTGTTTCCTGACTGTCTTCCTCATCTGTACGTTTTGCTTTCTTTGCCCTAAGTAGATATTTCTTGTGCCTGTTTCCCTCCCCACCTTCCCCTATCCTGCCCTTTATTTCTTCCTTTTGAGTCTTTATTTGGAAAAGCCATTAGTTTATGTCCCTTGCTTAAAAACAAAAACAGCTGGGGCTGGGAAGGTGGCTCAGTGGTAGAGCGCTTGCCTTGCATGCCTGAGGCCCTGGGTTCGATTCCTCAGCACCACATAAGCAAAAAGAAAAAAGCCGGAAGTGGCGCTGTGGCTCAAGTGGTAGAGCGCTAGCCTTGAGCTGAAGAGCTGAGGGACAGCGCCCAGGCCCAGAGTTCAGGCCCCACGACCGGACCTCCCAAAACAACAAAACAACAACAACAACAGCAGCTGTCCAGTGGCGCTGGTGGCTCACGCCTGTCATGACAGGCAGCTCGGGAGGCTGAGACATCCCCTTCAGGGCCGGCCCAGCAGGAAAGTCTGTGTGACTGCTCACATGATTAGCCACCAAAAAGCTGCAGGCCGAGCTGTGGCTTAAGTTGAGCACGAGCCTGGAGCAAAAGGGAGAGCCCTCGAGCTTTATTAGTTCAGGGCACAGGACTGGCACCAAGACAGCACGGAACACCGCAAACAGGAGCTGACACAGCACTGGTCCCCGTGAAGGAGAGGAAGGGGTGGTCGCCCTATAAAAAAAATCGTACTCACTGCTTGCGTCTCCCTTATAATCCTTTTTTGCACTGGGGTTTACTTTCTTCCACCCATTCATCTTAACTGGAAAAAAGTTCCATTCTGAGCACCAGCCCAGGCTGCCTTCCACCAGTGCTACACTGTCTGGCTCTCAGGAGACGTGACCAGTGATACCTGAGGTTAATTCAGGTCCCATGATTCATCTTCCTAAGCTGCTGTTATTGTTTGCAAATTCATCAGATTGTGCTACCTCCAGGGTTGAGGGAGTTCCATGGCTTTTGTGTTTAGAGGTGACAGTCTGGTGAGTGGTTGGGGTGGCATTCTTTCTTTTTCCTTTTTCAAATTCTTTTTTGTGATTAAGTGATTACATAATTTCACAGTATTGTGGGATAATGATGCTTAAAGTCACAAACACATTCTAACCTTCATGGGGCAGATTGTCTATTGTGGTCTGTGAAGTTCTAGGAGCTTTCAGCCATACAGTTATTTCCTCCACAGCTGGCCACAGGTACATTCCTTTCCTTTTGCATAGCATCAGCTGTTCCCTCTTTCCCGCTTGTTCCCTCCCTCTCATGGCTGCCGTTGAGTTGCTTGGTTCGTCTTGATCAATGTCCAGTGGAGGGTGGCATTCTTTTTTTTGTTTGTTTTTGGTCGGTGGTGGGGCTTGAACTCTGGGCCTGGGCGCTGTCCCTGAGCTCTTTAGCTCAAGGCAAGCGCTCTACCACTTGAGCCACAGCGCCACTTTTGGCTTTTTCTGATCAATTGAAGACTCTCACCACTTTCCACCACTTTCCTGCCCGGGCCGGCTTTGAACCGCGATCCTCAGATCTTAGCCACCTGGGTAGCTAGGATGACAGGCGTGAGCCAGCGGTGCCCGGCTCTACTGGTTTTCCTGTTTGAGTCTCTGGAATGAGGGTTTGGATGAGGCAGCAGGCAACGCTTAATAAATGCTGCCTTTTTTTTTTCTTTTCTTTCTTTTTTTTTTTTTTTGGGTCCGGTCGTGGGGCCTGAACTCTGGGCCTGGGCGCTGTCCCTCGGCTCTTCAGCTCAAGGCTAGCGCTCCACCACTTGAGCCACAGCGCCACTTCCGGCTTTTTTCCTTTTTTTGCTTATGTGGTGCTGAGGAATCGAACCCAGGGCCTCAGCCATGCAAGGCAAGCGCTCTACCACTGAGCCACCTTCCCAGCCCCTCTTTTTTTTTTTTTTTTTTTTAAACTGCTTTCTCCCAGTCTACTGCTTCTGGGTGAGCTAGGATTGTTTTGGCAGGAAAATCGTGGATTTGGGGCTGTGGAGTAAGGTTGTGTTCAGCATCAATTGGGTATTGTTGACATCCCCTTAGCACTGAGCTGCTATGTCCAGGAATATGTTCAAAAGTTGGGTTGGGTGACCCCTCCTTTGCCTGTCCTTCGTGTATGTCCCTCTTTTCTAAGTTGTTTTTATTGAGGAGTTGTACAAAGGAGTTGCAGTTCTGCCAGCCAGGTAATGAGCACAGGGCAAGATATCTTGGGCTGTGTTGCTTAGGCTCCCCCCGTCTGTATTTCTTAAATAGGTGTCTAGATTTTTTTTTATTTTTGTGTTGCTATGATGATTAGGATATTACTTTTGTTACCTGGCAGGTTAATACTGTTGTTTTTTTTTGGGGGGGGTCCGGTCGTGGGGCCTGAACTCTGGGCATGGGCGCTGTCCCTCAGCTCTTCAGCTCAAGGCCAGCGCTCTACCACTTGAGCCACAGCGCCACTTCCTGCTTTTTTCTTTTTGCTTATGTGGTGTTGAGGAATCGAACCCAGGGCCTCAAGCATGCAAGGCAAGCGCTCTACCACTGAGCCACCTTCCCAGCCCCCAGGTTAATACTGTTATATTGGAAGGCAGTTGATTTTTTTTTTTTTTTTTTAGTTCATTCAGCCTCTTGCTGAAATTTATGTTGTAAAAGTAGACATTTGTCTTCTTGGATTTTCTCGTTTCTAGATATCTGTAGCCTGCGTACTTTAGTGTTTCTAGATCTCAGTCTGCTGGATAGCTAGGGTTGACTTTTCAGAAAGAGTCCCAACTTCTCACTGTCTGTCCTGGACTCATTTTTGCCTAGCTCTCAGAGGAGCAGATTTAGTTGGTGTGAAAAAACAACTATTTTTAGCCTTATGTTGAGACAAAGTAGGTAGAGCAGAACTATACAGGCCCACAGTAACCTTACATTTCCTCCTTTCTGTGACACATGAATCCTGAATTTTCTCCAACCTATTAATGTTTTATTCATTTTATTGATACCTGGAACTGGGAGTTAGGATCAGGTCAGATACTTTTTCTCAAGAGTTGATTTCACTTGTTTTTGGTCATTTGTGGGGCTTGAGCTCAGGGCCGCGACACTGTCCCCAAGCTCTTTTGCTTAAGGCTTGTAGTCTTTCACTTAGTGCCAAAGTTCCACGTTGGGTTTTCTGGCAGTTAATTGTAGATAAGAGTCTCACAGACTTTCCTGTCTGGGGTGGCCTGGAACTGTGATCTCAGATCTCAGCCTCCTGAGTAGCTAGGATTACAGGCATGGGCCCCCATTGCTTGATTTTTTTTTTTTTCTTTCCATTTTCTGTTACCTTGGTTTTGAACTCAGGGCCTTGGGCTTGCTTGGCTTGCTTGCTTGCTTGGTTAGTGCCATGCTCTACCATTAGAGCCATGTTTCTTGCCCAGCTTTTTTTTTTTGTTTGTTTGTTTTTTGTTTTTGGGTCAGTCATGGGACTTGAACACAGGGCCTGGGCGCTGTCCCTCAGCTCTTCAGCTCAAGGCGAGCGCTCTACTGCTTGAGCCACAGCGCCACTTCTGGTTTTCTAGTGGTTTATCGGAGATAAGAGTCTCACGGACTTTCCTGCCCCAGGCTGGGTTCTTTCCTGCCCCAGGCTGGCTTTGAACCATGATCCTCAGATCACAGCCTCCTGAGTAGCCAGGATGACAGGCGTGAGCCGCTGGCGCCAGCTCTTGCCCAGCTTTTTGCTGCTTATTTTCAAGATGGAATCTCTTGGATTTTCCTGCCTAGACTAGCTTCAGACCTAAGAGTGGGGATCTCAGCCTGCTGAGGAACTGTAAGCCACCAGCTTTCTCCATCTCCTAACAGGAGCAGTTATAGCCACTTCTTTCTTTTAGACGAGGTCCCGCTATGTAACGCAGGCTAGCCTCAAACTCATGATCCCTTCTGTAACAGCCTCCCGAGTGCTGAGATGACCCGTGTGCTGCCGTACCTTCTGCACCTCATCATCTGGCCTCAGTAATAAAGATGTGAAGAAAGCTGGGCGCCGTGGCTCACCCCTGTCATCCTGCTATTCAGGAGGCTGAGATCTGAGATCACAGTTAGAAGCAGCCCAGGCAAGAAAGTCTGTGAGACTCTCATCTCCAGTGAACCCCTAGAAAACCAGAAGTGGCGCGGTGGCTCAAAATGGCAGAGCGCTAGACTTGAGCAAAAGAGCTGAGGGATGGATGGTACCCAGGCCCAGAGTTCAATCCCCATGGCTGACCCCCCCCCCACCAAAAAAAGCAGATAAAATCTCACTACTCAATATCTTCAAAAGTAAAATCGGCCATTGACCAGGTTTACATTTGAGTCCTCAAGTAAACATGTCAGAGAATTTTCATGTGTTATTTGGTCACTGTCCTTGCAACTCAGCTTCTTTGTCCAGACAGACAGACAGGCAGACAGAGGAGCAGGCAAAAAGCAAGTTAGTTTATGGGTGTGTATTCTGCGATGTAAATCAATTAAGGGAAGTCAATGTGAAGTGGTAACTGTGAGCACTGCCATTGTCATTATTTGACCGTTGGATTCTCTCCTCTTCAGCTGCTTCTCAGCAGAACTTGCATCCTTCCCTCTCGCACACATGCGCGAACCCTGATGCGTCTGTTGTAGGGAGAGCTAAGGGGTAGATTTTCTTGCTGCTGGAGTCTGTTTCTTTGTCTGGCTTTGGGTGGTTGGAGGGGAGGGAGGCTTCTTTGCTGTGAACCGAGAAGTCGCCGCCCCAGCAGTGTTGGGGCGGCAGTTGATCTTATGGCCTGAGATTGCACAAATAGCCTTGTAAAAATAGCGCTGTGTTTCCAGGCTACACTACAAAGAGGGAGCTGTGGCCGGGTGCTGGGTGGCTGAGATCTGAGGATCCAGGTTGGAAGCCCACCCAGGCCGAAAAGTCTGAGAGTCTCTTAGCTCACGTGGTAGAGCACCTTCCTTGAGTGAGAAAGCCAAGCCACAGCCTGAGGCACAAGAAAGAGGAGCTATGTCTCAGATACATCTCATGAACACCTACAGCATATTATTCTGGAAAATGTACATTCTGAGTTTTAAAGAATTGTCTTGAAACATGTTTGCCTTGGGTCACAATCATCGTAAATCAACTTGGCTTTGTTCAGTTTGATTAGCTGACAAAAGTTGGTAAAAGTTAGGGAAGATTACTTTTGTATAACCTAGAAACACTTAGTAACGGTTCCTTTTAACATTTGCAGACGAGATCATCGGATGCTCATTCATCTGGGTCTTCGGATACACATGTAAGTAGAAGATTATCATACTGATGTGTACACTGTGCCAAAGGTTCATTTATCCTCCTTTTTTTCTGTTCTAATATGTATAGCTTAGCTCCTTCAAACCATGTTAGAAACCTCATATTAATTTTTATTGTGCTTTAAAATGTTTGTGCATACACTTTTTTTCTTACTACATTTTATACCCGTTAAAATAGCTCTCCTTAAGGATTAAGGAGATGCCACTCCTTCTTGTGGCATCATGTTCCAAAGTAGAGAGAAGCATTGCTCTGTGGCACACATACATTTTGTTTACAGCTTTTTGTGTGTGTGTGTGTGGGGTCAGTTATGGGGCTCTACCGCTTGAGCTACAGCGCCACTTCCGGTTTTCTGGTGGTTTATTGGAGCTAAGAGTCTCACGGACTTTTCCTGCCCAGGCTGGCTTTGAACCGTGATCCTCAGATCTAACCTCCTGAATAGCTAGGATGACAGGCGTGAGCCACTGGTGCCCGGCAAATGGAACTTTTTAATATGACATGAATAACAAGTACATATAACCTAAAGCGTGAAGTTTATCTCGAGAGAAGGACTTGTGTGATGGTTTGAATTGAAAGTGGAAAACGAGTTGCTTTTTCATGGAATATGTTCTTTTTTTTTTGGCCAGTCCTGCTTGAACTCAGGGCCTGGGTGCTGTCCCTGAGCTTTTGAGCCACAGTGCCATTTCCAGCTTTTTCTGTGCATGTGGTCTGATGAATCGAACCCAGGGCTTCATGCATGCTAGGCCAGCGCTCTACCACTGAGCCACCTTCCCAGCCCCAGTGAATCCATTCTTAAAGAGCAACTGGTGACTCAGAGTTAGGCATTTGTTTGGGAGACGTTTCTTGGGAATGACGGCAAGAACCCATGATTTCAACAATAACTGTAGCTATAATCTGCCTTTTGAGCTTTCGACTGCAAGTTAGAATTGCTGAAAATGTTTGTGTTCCTAAGGACTTGGCTAATGAAAGCGATGTTGATCATTGAAGAATATGGTTTGGATAGTGCGTAATGAGATTTGTCAGTATTTACACACTTGGATTACTTCTAGTTTTCAGAACGCTGTGTGTGATTTTTAATATGTGTTTAACCTTTTGTAAAGATGGATGCCTCTGGACCCTCAGACAGTGATGCACCAAGCCGGACGCGGCCCAAGAGCCCAAGGAAACATAATTACAGGAATGAAAGTGCCCGGGAAAGCCTTTGTGACTCTCCTCATCAAAACCTTTCCAGAGTGGGTATTGTGCAGATAGAAAAGGAGAGCTATTGCTTTTCCTCTTCCCTGACAGAATGTGGTGTGGTGTCGCGAGCTTTGTGACTGTAGGGTGCTAAGTCCCAGACACCCGAGACGGGGTGCACAGACTCCCTGCGCCCAGAGCTGCTGCTCTCCCTGCGGGCAGCCGGGCCGAGTGCGAGCGTGCTGTCCTGCGCTCTCTTCCTTTGTTTATCCATTTGGAAAACACAATAAAGAGCATGGCCAATCAGCAGTTATTAACCACTGACCACAGATTGACTTGTTGATTAATAATTCAAAGCAAAAATGCATTTTTACTTTTCTGGGATTTTTTTTTTGTTTTGGTCAGTCATGGGTCTTGAACTCTGGGCCTGGGCACTGTCTCTAATCTCTTCAGCTCAAGGCCAGCCCTCTACCACGTGAGCCACAGTGCCATGTCTGGTCTGCTGAGTGGTTTATTGTAGATTAGAGTCTTTCTTGCCCAGGCTGGCTTTGAACGGTGATCCTCAGATCTCAGCCTCCTGAGTAGCTAGGCTGACTGGAGTGAGCCACTGGTGCAGGGCTCTGTTTTCTTATATGGGTTGAATATCCCATATCTACAGTGCTTGAGATCAGAAATGCTATAGGTTAAGGAGTTATTTGCATATTCATGAAGGATCTGGGGCATGGGACCTAAGTCTAAATGAATGGGAAATCCTTTTCTGTGTCATAGCCCAAAGGTCATTTTCTTCTGTGTCTCCAGTACACTTTTGCTCTGATCACAACCCCTTAAGGAGGTTTAATGTGGAATTGTCCAGTGACGGAATCATGTTAGTGTCCAAGAAATTTCAGGTTTTGTATTTGTTAAGGATACTCTGTGTGTTCAAAATCAGTGTGTGTAATTGTACTTGCACTGAACCCTATACCCACTGTAGATCACACATTCCAGCAAAGGACACTGTTCATAAATACCAGAGCTGCTGGTGAAGAGTAAGTCAGTATACTAAGTGATAAAAGATGCATAAAGGCAGAGGCTGTTAGAGATGGGAGGTGACATGGGCTATGGAAATGTACCTTCATGTCCGTATTTGGTATCTGTTTTCTCCCATTGCTGCTTTTGCCTAGAAATGCCTGTGTTTCTCCTCTTCATATACTTTATTCTTTTTTGGGGGGGGGGGGGGGGGAGTCTGGTCCTGGGTCCTGAACTCTGGGCCTGGGCGCTGTCCCTCAGCTATTCAGCTCAAGGCTAGCGCTCTACCACTTGAACCACAGCACCACTTCCGGCTTTTTTTTTCTGCTTATGTGGTGCTGAGGAATCGAACCCAGGGCCTCAGGCATGCAAGGCAAGCGCTCTACCACTGAGCCACCTTCCCAGCCCCTATACTTTTATTCTTACTCTGAGACTTAGTATGTGACTTTTGGCTGTTACTGACCTTGAGCTAGGAAGTAAAATCATAGGCACCTGACACTTCGGACAGCACCAGCTTTTCTTTACAACCAAACCTTTAGAAAGTGATCCATTTCAAAGGCTTGTATATCAGCTAAGTAGGCATTAAGTTTACAGATCGCATTAATGTGTGTGTGAAGACATGCCTTTTCCTTCCTTTCATAGCCTCTTCTAGAAAACAAACTTAAAGCATTCAGTATTGGAAAAATGAGCACAGCGAAACGAACCTTGAGTAAGAAAGAACAAGAGGAATTAAAGAAAAAGGTAAAGTGTAAAATTATTTTTGAGCTACGTGCTTTCCATGTATCTGGGATAGCGGATGTGTACCACCGTGCTCAGCTTGTGTCCGTTGAGTTGAGGACTTGTGAAGGTTTTGGCAGGGCTGGTTTGGAGCCTGGCTCTTCCTGAGTAGTTAGAGTGACAGCCCGTGAGCCGTTTCTCCCTGCTTTGCATTGGTATTTGCAGCTGTATCTGAATCCAGGGCCTCACCCATGTCATTAAATCAGCCCTCTTCCGCTTGACCTGCACCCCAGCCACCTCCCCGAGCAGGCTCCCATTCACCCCGCTTGCTTGGGGTTCCCGAGTGGGTGCGATCGCAGGTGTGCACCATCACCCTCCTGGCCCGCCTTCTCATGCTCTCATGTTCCTTGTGTGCTCAGGAGGATGAGAAGGCGGCCGCTGAGATTTATGAGGAGTTTCTTGCTGCTTTTGAAGGAAGCGATGGTAACAAAGTAAAGACGTTTGTTCGCGGAGGAGTTGTCAATGCAGCCAAAGGTGAGCGCGCACCCCGATCCTCACAGGACTGCAGGTAGGTGGTTCCTGTGGAGGATGCCAAGGGTGAAGGCACACACTCTGGTCCTTGGTGACTGGGGGTGGTTCCTGTGGAAGATGCCAAAGGTGAGTACACACACACCCTGGTCCTGCAGTCCTTGACCTAGTTACCTTGGAAGGAGACATGGGAGTTTGAAGTTCACCTGTGTTCTAATAGCACCCTCTAGTGGCTGCAGTGATGACAAAATAAAGGGCTGAGGTGATAAAGGCGCTGGCCAGACGATTTAAATAGGACTTAATACCTTTCAAGTTTGACCACAGCCCAGTACTTTGCAAATACTTCAGTGTATTTCAGTTCTGCCTGCGTACAGAGTGGTTGGTTGCATTAGTATTTTTGAGGGTGAAGTGTTAGTGCTTACGTTTAAGGTTTTAGAAGTAATTTTCCTGTAAAGGTGTTGTACAGAGTAGTTGTCATTTCAGGAGTCAGGTAATGAGTCAATTCTTTTTGAACAGCGTCATCCTTAAATTGCCATTTTAATTAATTTGTCGTGCTGAATCTTAATGCCAAACACATATTCATAATCTTGAAGTAAAAGAGCAAAGAAGGTATCAAATTAGTTTTGTAACTTAGTATCTTAACTTTCAGAAGAACATGAAACAGATGAGAAAAGAGGGAAAATCTATAAGCCTTCTTCAAGGTTTGCAGATCAAAAAAATCCTCCAAATCAATCATCCAGTGAGAGACCACCATCTCTTCTTGTGATTGAAACAAAAAAACCCGTAAGTCACACCGTTGATGTTTGGCATTGACACTGTCAGTGATACTTCTGTAAGCAGAAGTTGGGTTGTTTGGTCTTCAGGTGTTTTGGGATGTAAGTTCAGAACTGATGCTTTCTGCCTCAGTAGTTTGTGCAGATGAGAGGTCATAAATCAGAGGAGGATGTGCAGGTTCTTTGAACATTTGTGGTTCCTGTACTCAGGTTATAGAGATTGCAACTCAAAAGTGCTGTATTTTGAGTGTTTATAAATGTAAAATAATTGCTAGCGACGTGGACTTTTTGGAATTTATAGTCAGAAGTCATGGTACTATCTTTTAAGTATTCTCTTTCATTCTTTAGAGTGAGGTTTTTGTGGAGGATAGTAAATAGATATAGGGTCGTATTACTTGTTGTCTAATTTTGGTGAATAAATATGATTACATTGAATAAAAAGGCCTCCCTCCCTCCCTCCCTCCCTCCCTCCCTCCCTCCCTCTCTGACATTAATCGTTGAAAAGGTTCTATGGTATTCCCATAGATGCATAAAGTGTCCTTGATCAGCTTCACCCTGTTACTGTCCTACCACGCCCCTTTTTCATACAGTGTGTTGTGGGTTTCATTGTGCTGTCTTCCTATATATACATGTACACACACATGCACACACCCAGATGCACGTGTAACACCCTTATCCTGTACTTCCTTTCCTCCTCCCTGCTCTTACTGATTATCTAACCTCCTTTTACGCTCATGTCATTATTGATACTGTTTTATCTTGCTCAACACGATGATCTTCCATTTTCTTGAAAATGACATACTTTGGTTCTTTTCAGCTAAATGGCGGCCCACTGTGTGTGTGTGTGTGTGTGTGTGTGTGTGTGTGTGTGTGTGTGTGTGTGTGTGTGTGTGTGTGTGTGTGTGTGTGTGTGTGTGTGTGTACCACATATTCCTACTCTACCCATCGAGGCTCGTAGGCTCAGTCCAGGGCCGGCCTCACGTGACTGGTGCTGCAGCAGATGTGAATGTTGAGTTATCCTGTCTCCACTCCCATGTCTGATTTCTCATTTCAGTTTCTTTAGGAAGTTCCATACTGATTTCAGTGCTAGCAGTACTAAGCTACATTCCCACTAACACTGTACAAGACTCTCCCCCTTGGTCTTTGCATTTGTCACTAGTGTTACTGATAACCGCCATTCTCACTGGGGGCGGCAGACTGTCCATGGCAGAGTGTCCGTGTGGTTTCGATCTGCTTTATGGCTGAGGATGGTGCTCATTTTGTCAGTATTTATTTGCCAATTCTACTTTAGAAAAACCGCTTGTTCTGTTAGCTTGCCCATTTGAATGATGACCTTCACGGTGCAATTTTTGGAGCCCTTCACATGAATATTAGTCATTTGACGTTTAGCTTGCTAGGATTTTCTCACATTTGTAGGTTGTCCCTTCTTTCTGCTGTTTTGTTTCCTTTCTCTGTGGATGCTTCTTTGAAAGGTAGCACAGACATCTTAAATTCTAGTGAAAATGTTGCCAGTTATGCTTCTGGTATCATATCTAAGAATCCATTGTGCATTGGAAGATCATGGGTGTAGTCCTGTGTTTTCTCTTAAGAGTCTGAGGCTTCTAGGATTGTGACTGTTGGAGTCTTTTCGTATGTCACACGAAGTGGGGGTGCAGCTCCATTCATTCTTCCTGGGGTGGATGTTCACTTGCACAGCACTGCTGGACGGACCCTCCTTTCCCCAGAATGAAAAAGACACATTTCCAGAGTAGCTTAGAAGCACTTTGAAAGGGGAATTCTAACGCTCTTACTCTTTTGTTTTGTATTTCATCTCCTTTCAGCGCATATTTTTGATAGTAGGTCACGGAGCGGGCGCGTTACACAGCAGCCCCGCCACTCTGAGTTTTGTAACCTCCCCTCCCTGCTCAGGTCTGTGGATTACCCCAGGGGGTAGGCTTAATGGCTTCTTTATTATCGAAGACTGCCAGTTGTTATAGTTATTTGTTTTAAATTTTAATTGCTTAGTTGTTATTTTGAGGGAACAGGGAGAAAATGGAAGTTTAATGATAATAGACGTTCTTTTTAATTGCAATAATTAAAAATATGTTGGGGCTACAGTAAAAATGATTTAAAAGTTATCTTAACTGAACCATAGTTCATTTAATCTTCTTTTGTTTGGACTTCTTGTATTCTTTGTAGCCACTAAAGAAAGGAGAGAAAGAAAAGAAAAAAAGCAATTTGGAACTCTTTAAAGAAGAACTAAAACAGTAAGTTTCATAATATGGAGCATTAACTATCGTAGGTGTAATTACTAAATGCCTGTGTGATGGATGAAGTGTGCCAGTTATTGTAAGCTAGTTTCCACAGGTTGTTTTAGATAGTGTAGCGATTTCTAGTGGAGTATGTGTGGGTATGAGTTGGCATTTAGTCCAGCAGCAAGACTACTTGTGTTGTGTGGATTTAATCCACTTATTTATGGTCAGACTCTTAATTTGCTGTGGAAACAGTGGGGTACCGTTCCTCAGTGGAGAGACTTAACAAGTAAAAGTAATCTGTCATGTTAATGTCACATTTTACATTTTCTCTTCACCTTCAAAATGGGCTTAGTTTTCTGTTGCTAGAATAATAGAAATCTATTCCTACTGCTCTTAAGCCGGAGGTGTTCACTTACCTTGATCATCATTACTGGTCTTCAATTCCAATAGTAGTATTTGGGGTTAGCTTGTTTTCTCTTTACCTGTAAACAAGTACATTTTAGCTCAGTTTTAGTTGACTGTAACCATTTTCAACAGAATTCAAGAAGAACGAGATGAGAGACATAAAACCAAAGGCAGGTTGAGCCGGTTTGAGCCACCTCAGTCAGACTCTGACGGCCAGCGTCGGTCTAGTAAGTGACCTCTATTTTAATGTGTCTATTCATGATTAATCATGCTAAACACTTAACCATTGTTTCTCTTTTCTCCTCTTGAAGTGGATGTGCCTTCCAGAAGAAATCGATCATCTGGTGGTAATACAGTTTTTTGCTGTTTTCGTCCATATGAAATTGTCCAGACTTTGCGTTCGCAGGTTATAACTCTCCTCTCTTGCCCTAGTTCTTGACGATTACGCGCCTGGCTCACATGATGTTGGAGACCCGAGCACCACTAACTTATACCTCGGAAACATCAACCCACAGGTACCGCGCCCTGACACCTGGACTAATGTCCATCGTACTGGGGGCTTCTGGAAGAAGGCTGCTTTGAAATGATAGGATTTTAAAGTTAGTGGAAAGGATGAAATAGTCTCTGGAGTTAACTTGGTGGCCACCGAGCCAGACCTCCAACCCGGGCATCCTATTCAAGTCCCGCGGCATTGTTTCTGACGGGGGGCTCCGTGTTTTAGAAGGACACAGTTTTACCAGTGTGTCGTTCCTTGATTGTAGAGTTATTTGACTGGCAAATGGTATTGCTTTTCATTGAGCAAAAAACAACTGTGCTTTCTGCTGCTGCATAGATTTCTCTTTTTTTCTCCCCTTGTTTTCAATAGATGAATGAGGAAATGCTGTGCCAAGAATTTGGAAGATTTGGACCGTTAGCTAGTGTAAAAATTATGTGGCCTAGAACTGATGAAGAAAGAGCCAGAGAGAGAAACTGTGGCTTTGTAGCCTTTATGAATAGAAGAGATGCCGAGAGAGCTTTGAAAAATTTAAATGGTAAGGCCATTTCGGGATCCACTTACAAAATGTAGACACCTTTGGTTGCGCCTTGTAGTTGTGAAGAGGCCTTGGGGGCCGGGGGACGTGGCTCAGCAGTACAGGGCCTGCCTCCTACCCGGCATGAGGCCTGGAGCCCGAGCCCAGTGCTGCGCAGCGCCCTGCAGAGGACCCGCGCCTACCACCGAGAGCCGAAACGTTCCATTCCCTTCTGGGGATTCCCCAACCCGACTTTTCTGTGTCTCCCTCTCCTTTCTGCAGGAAAGATGATTATGTCTTTTGAGATGAAGTTAGGCTGGGGCAAAGCCGTCCCGATCCCTCCTCACCCGATATACATCCCGCCTTCCATGATGGAGCACACGCTCCCCCCGCCTCCCTCCGGCCTGCCTTTCAATGCGCAGCCTCGAGAGCGGCTCAAAAACCCCAGCGCCCCCATGCTGCCGCCGCCCAAAAACAAGGAGGATTTTGAGAAGGTAATTTGACAACGTGCGTGGGTCTGGACCTAATTTGTGCATACTAAATCTGTGGTAGTATTTCTTTTCAACTATCTTAGAGAAGAAAATGTGTGTGTTTATTCTGTTTGGCAACTCTTTAAAGAGCTAAGTAGATGTGTTCCCGGCCTTAGCCCATGGAGATGCTAATTTCAATAGTAGGTCATATTTTTATTTATGGCTACCATTCCTTTTTTGACCACTTGTTAAGTTTTTCTTCCCCTGTGTCCAGTGTTGTATCCAAGTTTGCTTAAATGCAGTATCTAAAATTTACTTGGTTTTGAGAGAGTGGTAATTTGTATTTGGCTAAGTGACTTTTCAATTAGAAGGGCCACCTAAATACGTGGTTTGGGTGTCAGCTAGCTAACTTAGTTCTCAAGGTCGTGAGATAGTAAAATACCTGAGGGTGAATGTGGTATTTTTTTTAAGTTAACCTAGTTAAAATGCAAAGGGTGAGTATTTCTCTTGATTAAACATAAACCAACTTGAAGTTACAAGAATTTGTTGGTTCTGTTATGAGTTTTAATTACACTTAAAATGACAGGGCTGGTTTTAAAGGCTTGGGAACAAATTAGTAAGTAAACTGTGGTCAGAGGCAAACAGTTAATTATTTCACAAATTAAAATCTTTATCTGATAATTCTCAGTGTAGTACTATTTCAGTGCATTGGTGTGCATTCTGGCAGGAATGTTCTGGATCTTTGCATTTGGTGAACTAATTGTTCGCTGAACACATCCATTTGCATTTATGTAATTGCTTAGTGTATAATTACTTCAAATGCAGTGATTGCCTGCAGAACTTGTCATTAGATGTGTAGTATTTTCAATGCATATGTATATTTTTGCTTGTTACTTGTTAACAATACTCACATATTCTATGTTTATTATCTGATGTGACTTCATATACAGACTCTGTCGCAAGCCATAGTCAAAGTGGTTATCCCAACAGAAAGGTACATGTTTTTCTTTATTATTACTGATCTAAATATAGACAATATCCCCTTCTGAATTAAAAAAAAAATGGTGTTGAGGAAAAGGTAACATCTTGACTGAGCAATGGTTCCTTCCCAGTACTTTTTTGGGGGGGATATATGAAATTTAACTAACTTTATAGTATACTTTGCGATCTTAGATGTTTTTAGTTTGTATGGGTACCAATGTAGGGAGTTTCATCGTTATAGAAGTTAGAATGTATTTATTAGCTTAATCTTGAGTTGTTGGTCTAATAATGTTAAACTATTGTGAGGGGGAAATAGATGTTTTAAATAAAATGTATTGTGATTTTAGATAATGTTAGCATTTGACCCAATCTGTTGCTTTTTTTTTTTTTTTTTAAAGTTTTTGAACTGTGCGTTTAATATACAACCTTGGCTTTAGTTCTCCTTACTGAAGGCATAGTTTTGTTCATTTTTGTTCTTTTTTCCTAATTGATTTTAAAGAAATTCCTATTCCAGGATACTGTACATAACTAGGAACTATTTTTTTTCACAATAACAAAGATGTTTAGATCACTTTTACTTTTCTTTCTTTGTTTTCTCTTTCAATATACCATTAATGTGGAAGAATTCCTGCCGTAGGTTGTGCTCTTGCTCAGTCAAGCTAAGCCTTTTCCCAAACACAGGAACACAACACTGGTTGAATAATAAATGAACACAAAATACCAAATTCTCTTTGACATTGGCCTTGGTGAGCAACACCAGCTGAACTGTCTGCGGCAGCGGGGGACCAGGAAACATCATGGGATGGATTGGGAAAGTATACAGTTTTTGACCAGACATTGGTACGATCAATCCAATAAATGTGGTTTTATAGTAAATGAGAGACAGTTTTTTTTTAATTTAATTTATTTTTTTTGTTTTTGTTTTTTTTGTTGTTGTGGTTGCCCAGAATAAGATAATTTCCATTTAAAAAATAAAATAATGCACTTTAAAACATAACATCTTTTTGTACTACACTGTTGCATTCTGGTAGAAAAATCAGCATTTTTTAAAATAAGGAAATGGTACATTACTTACATAGAGTATAACTGCAATTCTTGAATCTTGAATTCAAGTTAGCAACAACCAATTGTCAGATTTTGATTTTAAATAATCCTATGTAATACTTTAAAAAACTGGAGCTTTTAACTTGCTAAAAATAGATTTTTATCAGTTACAAGCCTATTTAAAACTATTGAGGGTTATTTTTTTCACTGATGATAAAGCAGTCACAGGAAATTTTTTTAGTACTCAAAACCATATATTCAGTAGAAACCTCATGCGTGTGGCTCAGCTTATTTCTGAACAAAATTTTGAGTGTACATTTGGCTGTAAAAATCTTAACTTACAGATAGAATGAATACTTTGGTTTTAAGCTTGCTAAATTCTTTCTTCATGTACCTTTAATACCTAGGTCAAGTTGCTTTTGACTTAATTTACAACAAGTTTCTGGGTGTGTAGCATTTGTCCACTTTGTAAGTGGTCATATGTATTCTATTCACAAAATTCCCCTTAGATTTAATTTGGCTCTTAGTAGTTGGCATTTTGGAACTTAATAATGACTTTATCTCCCTTTCAAAATAATGTCATTAACTGTATGGAAGCTGAGACTCCATTCTCACTGGGACATCACGAACTGCATACTTGCAGGACAGTCGATACTTGTCATGACAGAAACAGAATTTTAAAGTTCAAATTAAATGATTTTTTTTTTTGTTTTGACCAATTAAGGTTGTTGAACTAGTATTTCACATGTATAGTTTCCCCTTTGTAAATATTTAAATCTTCCTATACATTTTTGACCTCCTTCAGAATTAAAGTACTCTTTTCCACAACTGTAGTGTCCACTTAAATAGGTTTATTTGAAACCTATTTATAATTATACTGAACATAAGAGATAATTTTACCGTTCAGGTACTCTGAAGCAGGGCATCTTAGAGCCAAAACCAATCTGTCTTGTTTTATAACTATATTTATATCCTAGCAGTTACATGAACTTAAGTTGAGCCGGGAATGCTAAAGATGTGACTTAGTGTTTGCCTTATGCCACGAGCCAATATCCTTTTGCTCTCCCAATTGTTAGTTGTCAGCAACACATACGAGGGCACCGGTGAAAGGAGAAATCAGAGCAGCTTCTAAGTAAAAAACAGCAGCTGACGGCATAACCACTGTCTGAAATTACATTTGAGTTCTCCTACTAGAGATTTTAAACGAGAGAGTTTCTGTGAATCCATACAATGAGTACACAGCTACTCACATTGATTTTTGGCTTAAATATTGGAAGATAATGAAAAGGCCATCATACCACGTCCCCCGTTTTGGAAAGAGTGGGGCTTGATTTACTCAAGGCTTTGGCGAAATGATTTCAGTGGTCGATAATACACAGGCAGAACTATGCATGTGCTGAGTTTCAAGTGAGTTTGAAGTGTGGTCCAAAGGGATGTTGCCTCATGAGAGGTCAGATTTAATGAAAAGTCCATCCGGTGTGTGCGTACAAGAAAAGCACGGTGATTGGGTGGATCTTTTATTGAATCAGGCCTTCAATTTGTCACGTAGTTTTGCATTTTCATACATTATAGTTACGGTTGTGATATATATATTTTTTAATACTATGACAAAGTGCTTGGTTAGGAATATTTTCTTTAAAACATGTAGTGTGCAAGTTTTTAGATGGTTTCAATAACGTACGAGCTCTAAGTTACTGTGTTTATATATTTGCAGCCTTCCAATTAGTTGTGGTTCAGAATTTAATATTTTCCATTTGGAAAATAGAACGAAGTGGCATTTAGAAAATTCAGTCTTACTCCTATGATGCTGTGTTGTGGCTGCCCTCCCCCTCCCCCTCCCCCCCCCTCCCTTCTGCCCCGCCCTCCACAGCCCCCTCCCCTCCTAATGCACAGATGTTAACATAGGCTCCAATTCTGTGTTAGTCAGCACAATAATCTTTTTCTGCACAATTATAGTAACTTAGATCAAGTGTAGCTTTCTATAGTGGTAGGTCTGAATCCATTTCCTTTAACTGTGTTGTTGTTGTAGGAATTTGCTCGCTCTGATACATCGAATGATAGAGTTTGTTGTACGTGAAGGGCCGATGTTTGAAGCTATGATTATGAACAGAGAAATCAACAACCCTATGTTCAGGTGTGCCTTTTTAAAAAATTGTGGTTCAATAACAGTTCTGTTCCTGTAACAATTATAACAGGGCTGGGAAGGTGGCTCAGTGGTAGAGCGCTTGCCTCGCATGCATGAGGCCCTGGGTTCAGTTCCTCAGCACCACATAAGCAGGGGAAAAAAAAGCCGGAAGTGGCGCTGTGGCTCAAGTGGTAGAGCGCTAGCCTTGAGCTGAAGAGCTGAGGGACAGCGCCCAGGCCCAGAGTTCAGGCCCCAGGACCGGACCCAAAAAAAAAAAACAGTTATAACAAAATTTGCTAATACAACACAGTGTTCACTGTTCAGCGGCGTTAAGTACACTCACGGTGATGTGCAGCCATCGCTGCCGTCCATCTCTAGACCTCTTTTCCCCTTCTAGAACCCATGTTCGATAGCTCTGCGCCTCCTGTCCCCGCCCTGTCTTTATGAATTTGGCGGTTCTCGGACGTATTACCTGGGGTGGAATCACACAGCATTTGTCCTGGGTCTCTTATTTCACTTCAGGGTTTATCCAGTTTGTAGCTGTATTCCAGAGCTCTTCCTTTTAAAGGCTGAGTAACAATCCATTATGTACATACATACATGTGTACACATACATGCATATGTGTATGTATATGTGTGTGTGTATACTGTCTTTTGTAGCTCTTTATTAGTATATTTAAAACTGCTTTCAACTTTTGGAAATCAAAAAATGTTTCCAAGAATACAATCCTTAGGATTATTTCTGTAGATGGATGAGAAGTTGGTCTTAGTAAATAGACTAGAATGTGCTTAGGTCAAGTTCCTTTTTGATTTAATTTAATGGCATTTTTTTTTTTTGTTTGTTAGCATTCTCTAAGAGGAAAATAGTTTTCATTATGTTTTTCAGTGAGAGTCACAGTTGGGACAAGTGAGTTAGGAAGGAGATGGTGTATCTTCTGAACTGATACGGTGTCCAAGACACTAATTTAATGTTCATTAAGTAGTGTAAACAACTGCTCTGGAAATGACATTAAAATGATGAGAACAGCACCGTGCTGCCTTGTCGGTGTTAACAGTAGTGGTTGGGCGGCGTGGGTGGAGACACCAGTTACAGGTGGGTGGCGAGCCTTGCTCTGCGGGGTCCTTGCCTGGGTTTCCTCAGAGCTTAATAGGCCAATAGTCTTTGTTGTTTATTTTAAAGAACATGATAATTAATTTTTTGTTTCATTTTCCTTAGGTTCTTATTCGAAAACCAGACACCAGCCCATGTCTACTATAGGTGGAAGCTTTATTCTATTCTGCAGGCAAGTAGAGTTAAATTCTTTTGTTAATCTCGACTCTGAGTCATTAGAGCTTCCCAGTAACTTCTGGATGTTTATTTACTTAGGGAGATTCTCCAACTAAATGGAGGACTGAAGACTTTCGTATGTTCAAGAACGGATCTTTCTGGAGGCCTCCACCGTTAAACCCATACCTTCACGGAATGTCAGAAGAGCAAGAAACAGAAGCGTTCGTAGAGGAGCCCAGTAAAAAGGGGGCGCTGAAGGAAGAGTAAGATGTTCCCTTTTCTCTTGTATATTCTGAAAAAGTTGCTTTTGTGGTTGCTTTTACATCTTAAGACTATTTTACTAGAAAACACAATGACTTTGTGAATGTCTACCTTCTATTATATGTGCCTTATAATTTTCAACATCCCGGCAAATACAATGTGCATCCTCCTGACCTTGATAAAATCAGAGATAGGCTGGGAAGAGACCGGCCTTGGGGTTCACATCTGTAACCGCAGCTGCTTGCGAGGGGCGATGGGGGGTGGTCTTGGTGTAAGGTAAAGAGGTAGGGGACCCCACCCCCCGCTTGAGTCCATGAAGCAGGTGTGTGGCTCCAGCCAAGGAGGCCTGGGCGGGGGTGGGGGGGGAGGTGGGGGGGCGGTGGGGCCAGCGAGAGTCACCGCCCTACCTGGAAAGGGCCACGGTGCAGTTCTGATGGTAGAATTGCCTGAGTTCAGGGTGAAGAAGAGCTGTGCATGCCCAGGGGGCCGTGCGCGCCCCGAGAGGGTGTGCTCTTCTGCCCAGTCCACAGCACGCCCGTCCCCTGACACGGCCGTGGTGGGCACGTCCTCTTGCACGCATGCGCTCAGTTACAGAGCAGGGATTGTCTTTCAAGTGTCGGAGGGAGGGTGGGGGGTATCTGACTGAAGAATTGGCCTAAGAATTGTTAGCATATAAAGTTCACAGAGCTCATTGCGTGTTCTGTCCGTCGACGCTGGTCGCACGAAGGAGCATGTGTGAGTATTGGCTATGGAGTAGCCCCGTGTTTGGGGGGTCTTTGTGTCTGTATCATGCCTTTACGCCCCACACTCAGTCCACAGGCTACGTCTGCCTCCCTCTGTGGTATTGTTAGAACACAACCCTGCCTGCCTCCTCCTCCACCTGCTCTTTATGGCTCCCTAGGTCAGTCGAGTAACTGGCAGAGCGCCGTCAGCCTGCCACACTTGAGCTGTTCACAGCCTTCACAGGCAGAGCCTAGTTGAAGCTCTTCGTTGAGAGACACTGCTAGGAAGGGCTGCTTGGGTGGACCGCGAGAGCAGGATTGGCACTCAAAAATGCCTTCAGCCAAAAGCTGAAACCTCAGCTGGAGTCTTCCATTCATGCCACGAAGCTATTCCTCCCTATTCCTTATAAATTCTCATCAAACCTATCGTCAGAGTTATTCTGTCTTGGGAGGGTCTTCATTAGTTTGTGAGCAAAAGTTTTGATGCCCCTTGAAATTTGTGTTTAGATGTTCATAAGCTTAAAATTTTCTATTCAGACAGAGAGACAAATTAGAGGAGATCTTACGGGGATTAACTCCAAGGAAAAATGACATTGGGGACGCAATGGTATTCTGTCTCAATAATGCCGAAGCCGCCGAGGAAATAGTGGACTGCATTACTGAGTCGCTGTCCATCCTAAAGACACCTCTTCCTAAAAAGGTACGCCAGGACCTTTGCCTTCTGAACCTTGAGTCAAGAAGGAGAGCCGGCGCCTGTGGCTCAGGCCCGTCGTCCGAGCTGCTCAGGAGGCTGGGAAATGAGGATCAGGGCGTGAAGCCAGCCTGGGCAGGAGATGGTAGTTGACTTGTTTTTGTATTATAAATTGGTTTCCTGTTGGCATGAAAATATTGGACTGATGAGATCTTTCCTGTGTGACCTTATTTTCCTTCTGCCTCGGAGAGACTACTTTTCGCTGAGAACAGGTTTTCTACAAGTTGAAATGTAAAAGAATTACCAGATTTTATCATTGCCAGAGTCATGGTTGTAGAGCTCTTATGTTTCTTAACTGCTAATTAGTAATGATTATTTACTTATATTCACACATTAACCAATTGCCACTGATTCCAAGAAATGTGAATACAGATTCGTTGTTTAGATACAGTATTGGCTAATTGCATTTATTTAAACTTTACTTTGTATTATCTCTTTGGTATTATAGATTGCCAGATTATATTTGGTTTCTGATGTTTTGTACAACTCTTCAGCCAAAGTTGCCAATGCTTCATATTATAGGAAATTGTAAGTATAATGGTATCAGCTGATACTCCTGAAACAGTCACAAAAAATACTATCTATATATCTCTACATATAGAAGTAAGGAGTTCAGACAAGAGTATTGCTTTATTAGCCTCTTCCACTAATAAGTCATTTGAGTTTATTCATTTTGTACAATTAAAGAAAAATAGGCTGGACTTTGTTGGACTGTTCGGTCTTGCAAGATTTTGATTTATATTAGTGTCTTAATTGTGGACAATAGTACACAAATAGGGGTTGAAGTAGCCGCTTTTATTGCCCACTTAGCTATCCTGTTATCAAGTGAAACAGATCATATGTAGTGGTTACTTTTCCTTACTCACCTTTACTTTTCCTTACTCAGCAGTAGAGAGTTATTCTGCATATTCACTTTCACAGAATCCCCCTTGTCCTTATTCAGGAACTGGGTTCTGGGAAAAGTTGTTAATGGCCATGACATTGAGAAGTCTGGGCCTTCCCTTCACTGCATTTGAGTTACTTGACCTGAACCAAGTCACTTAACTTTTTGATTGGATTAGATGGCTCAAAGTATCCTGGATGTGTGGGGCTGGGAAGGTGGCTCAGTGGTAGAGCGCTTGCCTGCTTGCCTTGCATGGCTGAGGCCCTGGGTTCGATTCCTCAGCACCACATAAGCAAAAAGAAAAAAGCCGGAAGTGGCGCTGTGGCTCAAGTGGTAGAGCACTAGCCTTGAGCTCGAGAGCTGAGGGACAGCGCCCAGGTCCAAAGTTCAGGCTCCACGACTGGACCCCCCCCCCCCAAAAAAAAAAAAAAAAAAAAAAGTATCCTGGATGTAAAGTTTCTTTGCTAATGGAGAGAACTTAAGACTTTGAGGACTTTTCAGGAAAAACATTCAGAATAATAGGAATGTAGGCTCTTGGTTTTTAAGGACTTCCCAAATGATGGGTAGGTATTTTAGGTCCAGGAGGGGTCTTCATTGGCAGCATAATGAGCAGGATAGGGATTTTTAAACCAATTCTGTTTTAAAGACTATATTATTTAAATTTCAGTTTTGAAACAAAGTTATGTCAGATATTTTCAGACCTCAATGCTACCTATCGTACAATTCAAGGCCATTTACAATCTGAAAACTTTAAGGTATGTGTATTTTACTATTTTTGTCCTAATACGTTTCATAGATAGGAGGAGGGCATTGGAGGGCAAGTTTTCTCTAACTTCTTATACTTAGACCAGTGTTAAGAAAAGCCAAAGAATAAATAACTTATTAATCATTGGATATATTTTTTCATGGGAAGACGTTAATTTTTTTTAAGCTTGGAAAAATGCCCAGTGATTGTCATTTTAGAGGGGTTTGAAATAAGTACATTTAACTGTTTGACCTTCCGTGTTGCCTATAAGTTACAATTTATGGAAAATGCTAGGGAGCGGGCAGAGACGGTGGGTCGGAAACAGAGGCGGTTGTTCAGTGAGGGATTCAGGTTGGAGCGCGTGACTCGCTGCCCCGCTGGCCCCGGTCACCATGTACATGTTTTCTAGAATGTGGCTGGCATACTGCAGTCCACACAGTGTGGGTGTCGCCCATGAGTGGTAAAAGGCAGTTGCTGGTTCTTCAGTACGTCATTTTGGTTGGCTTTTCCCTCATTCATTGACAGCTCACATTGAAGTTTTAAAGATACGAAATGAAAATTTTAATTTTAAAAAGAATGTCAGCTTACAGGAAATTAGCAAGTCATAATGGCCATTCATATGGACTGAAGTTTGAGACATAATGTCCCAAATATTCCCAGAATTCACTGTGTGTTTCTTATTTATTTTAGCAACGGGTAATGACCTGTTTCCGAGCCTGGGAAGATTGGGCAATCTATCCAGAACCATTTTTGATCAAATTACAGAATATATTCCTAGGACTTGTAAATATTATCGAAGAAAAGGAAGCAGAGGTAGGCAATTGTCTTGGTCTGCTCTTGAAGGTTGGGGGAGGAGAGTGCTGTTGTGTATGTTACACATGTGGGTAATACTGCTTTGAAGAGAAGCATCACTAAGCAGTAGATTTTATTACTTACAGTTATGAGAGCTCAGGAGTCCAACTTACATACGACAGTTTTGTTGTTGGCTGCTTTATTTGCTGACACAAAAAGGTTTTTGATAGCCTTGTAGGAAAGAGTCGTTGAGGGCCTGGGTAAAGCCATTGTCTTATTGACTCTATCATTACATTGAAAATACATTTAAAGCTGGACGCTGGTGGCTCACGCCTGTCCTTCTAGCTACTCAGGAGGCTGAGATCTGAGGATCACAGTTCAAAGCCAGCCCGGATGGGAAGGTTTACAAGACTCAGCTCCAGAAAACGGGAAGTGGAGCTGTGGCTCAAAGTGGTAGCGAGCTAGCCTTCAGCAGAAGAGCTCAGGGACAGCGCCCGGGCCCTGAGTTCAAGCCTCACCCCTGGGGGGAAGCAGAAGGGAAAGAAGCAAAAAAAAATTTAACAAGCCTAACCTCGTCAGCATAGCTTTGCTCAGCCACCTTTATTAGACAAAAGTCGTCTAATAAGCTGAATGGCTCATGTAGCCATGAGTACATGGATCTGAAGAGCCACTGGTCCACGCGTGGTGCGTGGCAGGTGTGTGTGGGGAAGGGCCCGGCCAGCACCGGCAGGCGAGGAGAAGGCAGGCGTCCGAGAGCTGTCAGCACGCGGGCGGCACTCGCACACCATCGCAGCCTGGAACCCGCCAGGCAGGGCGCACTGCGCCTTGCACCTTGGTTTCTGCCGTCTGTGTAGTGAACGTGACCAGGGAACGGAGGCAGCATCATGGTTGTGGGCGGTGTGTGCCGCGTGCCGCCCCCCCCCCCCCCCCCCTTCCCTTCCACCCCTGAACGGGTCCTGATCTTGTGATCTTCACCCCTGTTCAGGCCGGTGTGCTGTCGCATTCACTTCGGCACTATCCTCCTTGATGGCCTCCTTGTTCAACCCACAGTTTGTTTTTGCTTTCTTTTCTCTTTCTTTTGGGTCAGTCGTGGGGCTTGAACTCAGGGCCTGGGCGCTGTCCCTGAGCTCTTCAGCTCAAGGCAAGCGCTCTACCACTTGAGCCACAGCACCACTTCCGGTTTACTACTCTAAGTGGTTTATTTGAAGATAAGAGTCTTATAGGGCTGGGAAGGTGGCTCAGTGGTAGAGCGCTTGCCTTGCATGCATGAGGCCCTGGGTTCGATTCCTCAGCACCACATAAGCAGGGGGAAAAAAAACTAGAAGTAGCGCTGTGGCTCAAGTGGTAGAGCGCTCGCCTTGAGCCGAAGAGCTGAGGGACAGCGCCCAGGCCCAGAGTTCAAGCCCCACGACTGCACCAAAAAAAGAGAGTTTTACAGACTTTCCTTCCCCTGGCTGGCTTTGAACCACAATCCTCAGATCTCAGCCTCCTGAGTAGCTAGGATGACAGGCATGAGCCACCAGCGCCCGGCTTGTTTTAGTTTCTTCAATGAAGTTCCCCCCTACTCTTGAGCTTTGTATGTGCTCTTCCCTCCTTCCTGGAACTTCTCTTCATGAGAATGACCGGAGTTCAGCCAAAGCAGAGCTGGACGGCCAACCTCAGTGGTGTGTGAGCACGCGTGTGTGTGTGTGTGTGTGTGTGTGTGTGTGTGTGACTGTGATCATCTGGTTTCTTGATGTGTTGCTCAAACAACCACTGAAACTCACTAAGCCCTGTGACAGGAGGACCGCCTGTGTGTTTGGCCCCAAGCAGCCCTTGGTCGATGCTGGCTGATGAAGGGCCGGGCCGCTGCTGGTCTGGCGGGCGTGGTGTATGGCCTGGTGAGCCCGTCCCTGCGGGTCCCAGGTTAGAGCGGTGTCTGTTGCGCAGGATGTGCCGGATGACCTGGACGGTGCGCCCATCGAGGAAGAGCTGGACGGCGCGCCGCTGGAAGACGTGGACGGGATTCCCATTGACGCCACGCCCATCGATGATCTCGATGGGGTTCCCATCAAGAGCCTGGACGACGACCTGGACGGCGTGCCCTGTAAGTTCACGCGTGGACACCACGCCTGCCGCGCCTCCTGTGCCGCCCGTACGCTCCTGACCCCGACGCCCGGCCGCACGTTTGCCGCCTCAGCTCTCCAAGCGCCACTTCCTTTGCTTAGCTTTTAAGTAATTGCATTAGGAGTTTGTCTTTTTTTTTTTTTTTTTTTTTGGTGTGAGTCCTGGGGCTTGAACTCAGGACCTGGGCGCTGTCCCTGAGCTGCTTTTGTTCAAGGCTAGCACTCTACCCCTTGAGCTACAATGCCAGTTCCAGCTTTTTCTGTGTATGCGGTGCTGAGGAATTGAACCCAGGGCTTCATGCATGCGAGGCAAACACCTGTATGTGTGCTGTTCAGGTCACCCGCTGTAGTTGGAGGTAACGGTTCTTTTCCCTCCAACAGTGGACGCTGCTGAAGACTCGAAGAAGAGCGAGCCCATATTTAAGGTCGCCCCATCGAAGTGGGAAGCGGTAGACGAATCTGAACTGGAGGCACAGGGTGAGTGGGCCTTTCTTTTTTTTTTTTTTTAATAGAATATTTAATTAATATGTGATGAGTAAACATAGTTACTATACTTTTTCCATTGAAATATCGGGTTTTTCTTTTTTATCATAAGTAAACAGGATTTATGACCGGGATACAAGGATGGTTGAACATATGCAAATCAACAGATGTAATATAGCAATAAAGAGAATCAGGCTTCTCTGTACATCACCTTTATAATAACCAGGATTTTTAAATTTACTTTATTGTAAAGATGTTGTACAGGGGGATCACAGTTATGTGAATAAGGTACATTTCTTGAACATTATTACCTACTCCATTGTTGTTCTCCCACTATCCCTTCCCTCCCTCCATGGATTTTTCTTAACAGGGCCGCTTACATTTTGTCCTCAGTCTTTATGTGCACAACATAAAGGAATTATTCATCAATCTGAAAAAAAGAGTCTAAAAACCTAAATTTTAAATCATGACACTAAAAGCAAGGTAAAAGTTGAGCATGATATTGCACGCCTGCAATCCCAGGACTTAGAAGGCTATGGTGGTTGTTTTTGAGCAACCAAGGCCAGAAAGTGACACTCAGTTGCAAACAAAATAAAACAAACAAATAAATAGTTGGTACATTAGTTTGTACCAAATGAAATTAGTTTCATAGAACAGCTTGACAATTTTTTTGTAATAAATATTTTAGCATGTGCAAAGGTATAAGAGAAGGAACACCTTCCATTAAAATCAACATTTATTTTAAAAAATAAATAAAATAGCTGGGCACCAGTGGCCCACACCTATAATCCTAGCTACTCAGGAGACAGATCTGAAAATCAAGGTTCAAAGCCTGACCAGTTAGGAAAGTCCATGAGACTCTTAACTCCAACAAACTAAAGAAAAAGCTGGAAGTGGAGCTGTGGCTCCAGTGGTAGAGTGCTAGCCTTGAGCAAAAGAAGTTCAAGGACAGTGCTCAGGCCCTGAGTTCAAACCCCAAGACTAACACAAAAATAAGTAAATAAACTTAAAACCACTAAAATTCAAAAAAATGAAGGGACTAGAAGCCAATAGAATTTAAATTTTTTATAGCCATTGAAAACTTAATAGACTAAATTCTAGGTACTGTTGAAGAGTGCCTTTCTAATTGGAGACATAGTGCATAGATGTATCTAGGCTACAACACAGAAAGCCAAAAAGACTATGTATATAATTACTAAAGATCTCACATATGATGTTAGCTGAGAGATACAGAAGACATATTGAGAGGCTCCGATCTACATGCACTAAACTTTTTTTTGGACAAATAGCAATTCACATATTTATTTGTCTTTCCAGTGAACCATTTCTCCAAAGCATATATTACCACACTGGATAGAGACAGACATTCTTCTCCTTATATTGATGGTTCTAATCCTTTCCCCTCTGCTCTTCCTAAAACTATCTGTTTTGACTAACATGTCATCTCCCTGTATCACTCACTTCTGCTCTCTGCTCTGCTCATCTGATCCTAAGGCACTTGTTTGTCTTTCCTGGAAAATTTTGGCTGGTGGCTCACTGTTACTTCATACTATTCTGGAAACTTTCCAATCTACCTGCAATAAATTCCATTGAAAAGCACTGCTTTAGATCTTGTCCTTACATGTAACTTTAACTCCTCCATGTCATTATTGAGCATCACACTCTTCATCTAACACATTCTACTTTGAAGGGCTTATTCCTTTTTTTTTTTTCAGATTTCCCTGAATTTACAATCATTGATTCTTCAATCATTCTATTTGCCATAACCCGTTTCATGTTCCAACTTCCATTATTATCTGATTTAAATTTCCACACTCAACCATTAATGACCTTTCATACATCATGCAAACTTCCTTAGGCTGTCCCTCTTGCTTTTATTTAGTTAGTTATTTTAGCTTACAAATACTAGTTAGATGTAGCTCTCTTCCTTACTCAGAGAATCTGCTTGTCCACTTAACTGCACCTCTACCTCTGCAGCTGAATAAGATTGGAGGAAAAACACACAACAGTCACTGCCCTCACGCGATCCCTTAATGCACCAGTCACGATGTTCCTGGTTCACTCAAACTTTCACTCTTTTCCACTTTTATACTTTCTACTAACTCTCAAACCTCTGAGAATTTCTCCCCATCCTTAGACATGGCTGGTGACTTGTTTCTTATTTTGATTGAGTAATAGAAGCAATCAGAAAAGTATGTTCCCTCTGGTACGTGGACTCACCTACCTTACTGTCTGCTCTATCTCATGCTCCTTTGTTAGTCTTTCCCTTATCTTCATGAACTCTGAACACTGGAGGATCTCAGACTTCTAGAGCTCCAGGCCCAAGACGCCATCCATGACCAGTGCTAGCCCGGCACGTGCAAGGACCTGGGCTCCAGCCCTATTCCTTGTGACAGAGGGTGTGTTTGCACACGGATCCCTGCTGTTTCTGGGCGTGGATGTTCCTTCTGTGTTTGCAGTGTTCGTTGGTCTTCAAACTCGACGTTACTGCATTTTATGTCCAGGCTGAGCTTGCGCTGTGACTGGTGTTGCAGTGGTGGAGGCTTTTTGAGAGTGGTGGAGAATTACCCAGACCTTTCAGGTGAACGAACTGTGATAGGAAAAGTGCAGGTGTACTTAGAGGTCAGTTTCAGAGAAGCCACCATAATGCTTAGTAGTTGCAGATGAATTTTGGACCCATATACTTGGGCTTCATTGTTCATAGTTGTAGGTTCTATCAGATCTTACCATCTGACACAGAAATGACAATTTTTTTTGTTACTTCATTGTAGTAGAGGTGTGGGTAAAGAGAGATTTATTCAGCACATAGAATTGGCTATTCAGAGAATAAACAAAGATAAAAATTTGTGTAATTAAAAGCTTCACTGCTAGAGCTGGGCTTGTGTGCTGCTGTAGAAAGCTAATTTCCCTCATGGAATTTCATCCTTTTCCCTCTGTTCAGCTGTAACAACTTCTAAGTGGGAGTTATTTGACCAGCACGAAGAATCAGAAGAAGAAGAAAATCAAAAGTAAGAATCTAAGTTTCGAACAGACTCGATTTCTCGTGTACATACTTTCCTTTTCATTAGTGGTCTGGTGAAAGTCCCCTGAGGAGGGAAACTTCCTTTTAGAGATTTGGGAGGAGGATTCTTTGACTCTTCCATTGTTTTTCCAGTGAATAAGTAAGAGTTTGGTTTCTGGCCTTCATCTTATTTCTCTTTGCCCCTAACTTTATGTGTTTAAATGTAAACATTTCAGAAGAACTAAGAATAAACGAGAAAAACCCTAATTTCTTGGAAATATAAAGTTTTACTTTTGCTCTGGCAATCAAGTTGTTACTAACAGGCGATGGTCAATACATTTGTAGCGATAATTTTTAGGAAGTGCTGGACACTTCTTAGACAGTCATTAGAGTGGAAACTGAGTTTCCAAATAGGAAGAAACTGCACCAAGCACACAAAGCCTAGCGCTTGGTCTTTAAAGTATATTTCAGTGTTCTCAAGTAGAAGGAGGAGCAGAGAGAAAGCCCCTTTGTGTTCTAGCACAAAATGTGCATTTGTGTGGCTTCAGGAATGGGCCTCGGGATTGTGAAGTTAGAAACGTGATCGGTCAGCAGTTGGTAGGAGCGGTTTGATGTAGAGAGGTTGGTGCTCGTTACAAAAAATACTTACAAAATAGAGATGTGGCTTTCTCTTGGAAATAGTTGAGATTGTTGAGGACAGGAGTTGGGGAAAATGTAATGAGTTTGCTTATTGAAACTTAAAACTTTCTATGTCCAAGATCCTTTCGTTACATTAATAATATTTCAGGATTTTGGGATCATTGCTTTAAGCTGTATATTGAATTCATAAAAGAATTACTTAATTTGTAAAGAAAGAGGGGAAGTCAGGAAAGCCATCAAAGAACCAAAAAATAGTTTTTAGTTGGTTTTATTTCTAAAGCTATTAGGTTTTTTTGTCATCAAACTGTTATTTCCATTAATGTTTAGAATATGAATGCAGTTTTAGTGTTGCTGTTGTATTAATCACTCAGAGAAGCACGGATCAATAGAAATGTGATTTAAGATATGTCAGTTTTCTTAGGAACTTCAGATCAATCATGAACATGTTTAAATAAACATGAAGGAGCCACAAAGCAAGGAGAAACTGCAGTGTTAGGAATTTTCTCAGGCCTCACTGCTGCTCTCTAGTGCCTGAATCAAGCACTGCCTTTCTGTGTAGGCTGCTGTATGTCACGTTATTGCACATTTTTGTGACTTTTTAAATTTTTTTTTAAAATATAGCACTTGTAATACTTTTGAAGACAAATCCTCCAAAGAAGCCTCATTTGTAATAAATTCTGTCTGGATTTAGGTGCTTTTTTTTTTTTAAAGTGCAGGGGGCTGGGAAGGTAGAGGGGGCTCAGTGGTAGAGTGTTTGCCTTGCATGCATGAGGCCCTGGGTTCAATTCCTCAGCACCACCTAAGCAGAAAAAGCTGGAAGTGGTGCTGTGGCTCAAATGGTAAAGCGGTCGCCTGAGCTGAAGAGCTGAGGGACAGCGCCCAGGCCCAGAGTTCAGGCCCATGACTGCCCCCCCCCCAAAAAAAATAAATAAAAAATAAAAAGTACAGTAGGAAGCTGTGTTAAATAAAGTCGGAACCTAGAATTGGTAACCAGGAACCAAGGCCAAAACTAATGAGAACAAGCTGCTTGGGCCTTGAGGTATTGCAGTAGAAACATGTGCATAGCAAAAAATGACCAAAGTCGTGTAGCTCGTTTTCAAAATCTTTCTCTGCACGGAGTAGAGCTAGTCTTGTTCTAGTGCTGCCACTGCTCCCTGCCAGGCTGTGGCTTTGTGTGTGACACTTTGCATTCCTGTGGGACTTGTCCAGGGGTGTGGGGTGACTCAGGGTTTTGTTTCCTTCACAGCTGACTTAGAACCATTACAACTGTCAGAATCACCTGTAACCTGAGTACCGAGCTGTATTAGTTACGTTGCAACTCAGCCTTTTCTGGAGGAGAAAAGCCTTTCACAGACCTGTCTATAAAATAGCATTTCGTTAAATATTTTGCAAAAAAAAAAAGTTTCTCTGCTGAGTTGGCCTCGTGTTACTTATACTTGACAGGGAACAGCTGGGGCTGTAGAAGGCTTCCTGTCTGTTCTCTGTCTTGACATACAATGTGCTCTTCCTTCCAAAGTCAAGAGGAAGAGAGTGAAGATGAGGAAGATACCCAGAGCTCCAAGTCTGAAGAGCACCACTCGTACTCCAACCCCGTCAGGGAAGAGGCGGCCGAGTCCAAGTTCTCCAAGTACTCGGAGATGAGTGAGGAGAAGCGGGCCAAGCTTCGAGAGATCGAGGTACGAGGCGTCACCTCGGCCTCGGCCTTGGCTCCTGGGCCCCGGAGCCTTCTGGGCCAGCCTCAGGCTCCTGCCGCAGGCTGCTGCTTCCCCAGCGTGATGCCCACGTTGTGCGTCATGCATTTTGTGTTGTGCGTCATGCATCTTGTTGCGTGTCATGCATTTTGTGTTGTGCGTCATGCATTTTGTGTTGTGTCATGCATTTTGTGTTGTGTCATGCATCTTGTGTCATGCATTTTGTGTTGTGTGTCATGCATTTTGTGTTGTGTGTCGTGCATCTTGTGTTGTGTCATGCATCTTGTGTTGTGTGTCATGCTTTTTGTGTTGCGTGTCATGCATTTTGTGTTGTGTGTCATGCATTTTGTTTTCTGGCTTGCGTCTGTCCGTCCTTCTTTAGTGTCTGTCAGTGCATCTGTCCTCTGGCATGGGGCATACTGAATGCACTGAAGAAACGCATCCTAATGATGGCGTTAGAGCTCACATTAGGATGCCTGTAACACGGCATGTGGTGAGGGAGGCACAGAACGTTTTCGGGTAGGTCAGTGATGTTTACATTTTACGCTGGTCCGCACTTTGAGTCATGGAGAGGGGCAGTGTATAGACCAGTCCTAACTCAGGGCTTTGCGCGCTCTCTCTCTCTCCTCTCTTTCTCTCTCCTCTCTCTCTCCCTCTCCCTCTCTCTCCCTCTCCCTCTCTCTCTCTCTCCCTCTCTCCATCTCTTCTTATCCCTTCTATCTTGTTTGTTCAGAGACTGTTCAGATACGCCAGAGCAGGCTTTTCTGTATTTTAGCGTTGGGTAATATTAGGGATTGAATTCAGAGCTTTGACCACCCCAGGCGAGGGCTCTACGATCTGAGCCAGGTCCTCTAGCCTTAGTTTGCGTTTTGTGTCTGAGATAGAGGGTCTTGTGAGTTTTTCTCTGGCCAGTTAGTTTTATTATATGCTCTAGCTTTTCTTTTTAAAATCTATTCTGTCCTTCCAAGTCTGTCCTGTGAAGTACCTGTGGCTAAACATTTTTTTAATGCTGGGATTAGTAACATGCCAAGGATTCATGTTGCAAAATACTGACACCCTGCACAAAAACGAAGTGCTTTAGCGACACTAGACACTACTGTGCGGTGTTACCGTTGGGTGACGGTGCAGTGCTGACCAGGGTAGCGCTGAGCACGGTCCTAGGCTACGTGGTGCTCTCTTTCCATGTGACCCAGCCCCATTTCCAGAACGGTGGGTGGGGTGCCAGGAGGGGAAAGCAGCCCTTTGGGCATTGGTGTGGAAATGTGACCCCTGACCATTGTTCCAAGGCGAGGGGCGTGCAGGCGGCTAAAGCCACCACAGATGGACAGCTTTTTTTTTTTTGGTCATGGGACTTGAACTCAGGGCCTGGGTGCTGTCCTTGAGCTCTTTTTGCTCAAGGCTAGTGCTGAACCACTCACAGCTCACTACCAGTTTTCTGGTAAGTTATTTGGAGATGAGTCCAACTGACTTTCCTGCCCAGGCTGGCTTTGACCTGGACCTGTCATCTCAGCCTCCTGAGTAGTTCGGATTATAGTTAGTTGTAAGCCGCTGGCTCCCAGCTTAGTATTTGATTTTTTTACTTAGTAATGAAAGGTTTGAACGTACTTTAATCTCAGGAGTGAATATTCATTTTGCCTGTTCCAGTCTTCCTTTGTCTTCCTGTAACTGGTTTCAGCAGTTTTTGTGCATGCTTTCAGATATTAGCATGTGGAACTAGGTGCTACTCTATTTGGTGGGAAGTACTTACTGTAAACGTGTCTTATTTCACAGCTCAAAGTTATGAAGTTTCAGGATGAATTGGAATCGGGAAAAAGACCTAAAAAGCCAGGCCAAAGTTTCCAAGAGCAAGTAGAGCACTACAGAGATAAACTTCTTCAACGAGTAAGGAATAAATACATTTAATCATATGCATCTCCAACGGCTTTCCAGCATGTGCTGATGATATGTACTTGAGGAAAATGCATTGGCAATTGGGTCCTGTGATTTGTACACACTGAGTATTGTAGCAGACCCACATTTGAAATGGGGGGGGGGGTTTTGTCTGTTTCATTTTTTACACAGACTTTCAGTTTCATTGATAGCTGCGAAGTTACAGGAAAGTTCCCAAGATAACATACTATTATGCTCCCTACCTCGCTAGCCCGCCGTCCTGTATGGACTTCATACCTTCTTTTCCCGCCAGGGGGCGCCTGCAGATGCTTGGTGCAACCGGATAGAGTGTGTGTTCCCTGGAGAGCCCCCTCTTAGGCTTACTCTTCAGAAAGGTCCACCTGACAGGGTGGACCTTGTGCTGCCAGCCAGTTCCTACTGAGAGCTGTTGGCGGCCGAGTGTAGTCTCATTACCATGGATGGTTTGATATTTTTCAAACATTTTGGCATGATCAAAGCAGCTGGCTAGGTGTTGGGTAATCTCTGAGGGCTAGCTGAGTTCTGGTAAGGGCTTGCCCTCACAGCGGGAAGGGTGCACTTACGTAAGCAGGCAGCTCCGAGAGGGGCGCAGGGCCCCGTCACCAGGAGGGAGCGCGGGCAGAGCTCTGGGGAGATGGCAGGCCTTCGGGCACCGCGAGCTGACATGGGCACATCGGCAGCGGCTGTGAGCGTTAGGGGCAGTTCCCTGGAATGGTAGATGCCTTTCTGAAAACGGAGCTCCAGCTTGACGAGTGGCTCACGAAAAAATGTGTCTGGGCTGGGAAGGCAGCTCAGTGGTAGCGCGCTTGCCTTGCATGCATGAGGCCCTGGGTTCGATTCCTCAGCACCACATAAGCAAAAAGAAAAAATCTGGAAGTGGTGCTGTGGCTCAAGTGGTAGAGCGCTGGCCTTGAGTTGAAGAGCTGAGGGACAGCGCCCAGGCCCAGAGTTCAGGCCCCACCACTGACGAAAAGAAGAAGACAACCTAGAACAGAACGTGTGGTTACGTAAATGGGATAAGTCTAGGTTGGCATTTTAAAACTAACTTCAAGTATTTTCTTCTTCCAAAACCAGGAGAAAGAGAAAGAATTAGAAAGAGAACGGGAGAGAGACAAGAAAGATAAAGAGAAGTCGGAATCTCGAACCAAAGACAAGAAGGAGAAGGATGAGTGCACGCCCACGCGGAAGGAGAGGCACGTGGCGTTTGTGGGGCTCGGGCGGTGGGGGTGGGCCTCGGTGCCACGCGCCACGCCACGCGCCGTCCGTGCCCGCAGAGCCGAAGCGGGTTCATGGCGGGCATTCCATGCTAAATACGCTGGGCTGAGGAAACGGGGGGCCTCCCGCGCGGCCCGTGTGGCGGCTCAGCTCCATGCATTCGGGAGCTCGCTCACAGCGCCGGGTGTCCGCAAAGAGCCCGCACACCCCACACTCCGCCAGAGAGCCCGCATACCCCACACTGCGCCAGAGAGCCCGCACACCCCACACTGCGCCAGAGAGCCCGCACACCCCACACTGCGCCAGAGAGCCCGCATACCCCCCCCCCACTCCACCAGAGAGCCCGCACACCCCCACACTCCGCCAGAGACCCTGCACACCCACACTCTGCCAGAGACCCTGCACACCCACACTCTGCCAGAGAGCCCGCACCCCCCTCCCCACTCCGCCAGAGAGCCCGCACACCCCCACACTCCGCCAGAGAGCCCGCACACCCCCACACTGCCAGAGAACCCGCACACCCCACACTCCGCCAGAGAGCCCGCACACCCCCACACTCCGCCAGAGAGCCCGCACACCCCCCACTCCGCCGGTGGAGGCCGCTGCCTGCCCTGGAGCAGAGGTGGTGAGCGTGCGCCCAGGGCCGCGTCCCCACCGCGCTGCGCCCGTGCGCCCTGTCGCCCTCTCTGTGTCTCCCACGGAGTCAGGGAGGTGCTCGAGTGGAACAGGGTTGACATTTTCCACATCAAAAGCAAAAAAGCGACTGCCGATAAAAAGCTCTGCCCAGTCCTCTGCAGACGCTTACACACAGCCAGTGCAGTGCACCAGTTGGTTCCGTGCAAAGGCCCGTCACCTTTATTTTGGCATAATTTCAGACTCCTGGAAAAGTCTAGTATAAACGGCTTCTGGACACCCTTCATGCACATTAGGTCTTCCCCGCATTAGGTCTCGGTTCTTCCTTTCCCCACTCTGCTACCAACCATTTAAGAATATTTGGTCAAGGTCGGGCGCCGGTGGCTCACGCCTGTCATCCTAGCTACTCAGGAGGCTGAGATCTGAGGATCGAGGTTCAAAGCCAGCCCGGGCAGGAAAGTCTGTGAAACTCTTATCTCCAATAAAAAAATCACCAGAAAACTGGAAATGGTGCTGTGGCTCAAGTGGTAGAGAGCTGGCCTTGAGCTGAAGAGCTGAGGGACAGCGCCCAGCCCTGAGTTCAAGCCTTACAACCAAGCACTGGAAACAAAACACCTCAGTTGTTAGTCCAGAAACTTTCCATCTCATTGAACATCCCGGCAGTCTGTCTTCTAGCAAATAAAAATCCAGGTTATCTGAGTTCAGCTGAAGGCCCGTCCTGGCTGTACAGGCTTTGGATGTGGCTAGTGGGGTGCAGTTAGTCCAGGTGGTGGGAGTCGCTAGCTAAGGCAGGGAAAGGCGCAGGAGCGCGCTCACTTGTGACGTGTTTGGGGACTTTGTTCGGCAGGAAAAGGCGGCACAGCAACTCCCCCAGCCCTTCGCGCAGCAGCAGCAGCCGGCGGGTGAAGTCCCCGTCCCCCAAGTCGGAGCGGTCGGAGCGGTCCGAGAGATCTCACAAAGAAAGCTCTCGGTCCAGGACATCTCACAAAGACTCTCCCCGAGATGTTAGCAAAAAAGCCAAAAGGTAAATGCAAGTCCTTTTCACAAACCGTACTTCAGATACTAGCTTCCTTGCCATTCCACCAGATGGTGAAAATAATCTGGTTATCAAACCAGAATCTCAGAAAACCAGGGAGATGTACTTTTATTTTAGGTTCTTTCTCTCCACCCCTATCCCAGTCTCATGACTAGCGTAAAAGAAGACTTCTAACAAGTTCAAGACCAGCCAAGAATTTTACACATAACGCATTGTGTCTGGGGGGCGGGGGGAGACGCCTGCTTTGCTTTCACCTCACTGTTTGTTTCTGTAGAATATGAAGGAAAAGCTATTTTCCCCCAAAGGAATATTGTTAGCATGTTTGTAAGTAGAGATTTGTGGAAATAAATACCAGAAATGCTATTTACACCATTTCTTCAGTAATTTAGTGTTTCATACATTTTATTTAAACCTTTTGGTTCCAGGAAAGTGGCTCAGAAAAGCTTTACTTATTAAAGAGAAGAGTTTTCCTGAGCTACCCCTGCTTTATGTGCTAACACTTTTGAGTGACAACTTCCTCCTTTTATAAATGGCACTGCATACGTGTGTATGTGTACGTTCATGTATATTTCTTTGTTTGGAAATCCTCAGGAAAACCATTGCAACGATGCCTTTGGTTGGATGCTACTGTAGCGAATGCTTTTTTCAAGATAATTTTATCTGCAAATTATCTTTTCTTCAAAGAGAACCATGTACTGTGTATTTTTAAAGAGTTTTGTGGATGATCCTAGGTGCCATCTTGAACTCGATCTTCTAGACTCGAGGTCCAGACTCGGGGCTTTTTCCCACGCAGGCTCTCGGGTTGCAGGGTGCAGCGGTGGACTCTGTCTCCCCAGATCGGCAGGTGCTCTGCCGATGAGGGTCAGTGCAGGTGCGCCCGTGTGCTCTCTGTGAGCAGAGTATAAATTTGAGAGGTTGAGTCGTGTTGATTCCAGTCACGTTTATTGTGCCCACTCACAGACATTGTAGACAATGTAGCGGTAAGCCGTTGTGGTGCTTGGTGCCTTGATGGATTGGTTTCTTGTCTGTTTGTTTCCTCAGATCACCGTCTGGCTCAAGGACACCCAAAAGGTCTAGGCGGTCACGGTCTAGATCCCCTAAAAAATCAGGGAAGAAGTCCAGATCTCAGTCCCGCTCTCCACACAGGTCTCACAAAAAGTCAAAGAAAAACAAACACTGACATAACGTTTTTAAGATGCTGCCACTTCTTGGAAATGCAATTTTGTTTTGTGCCTGAATGGTCTGGTTTTTTTTTTTTTTTTAAGAAAAAAAAAAACAAAAAACAAAAAAATCAAATGAAAGCATTCCTGGGTTTTTTTGTTTATTTGTTTGTTTGTGAATGCATGTGTAAACTCACGAGTAACTGCATCTGTAGATTTGTCGTTGTTTTATATTGTACAAACTACTTTCGTTGTGGCTGTTTCTCCAGATGAAATTTTTACTGTGCCCATGAATTTCATCAGAAGTGTGTATAACGGATCTGCTGGCAGTAGTAGTATTCTGTTTTAGGATGTGACTTAGCAAAAATAATACAGATGTCGCCCCCTTTTGTAGCTTTGACAATTTGAATTAGATTTCAAATAAAATCTGAACAGAAAAGCATAACGTTGTTTTCTTGCCCAGTCCTCCCGAGTGAATCTGGCCCTGCTGTCGCTTCTGACACATCACGCATGCACTTTGCGGGCTCCGGTGTGGAGTGGCTCGAGTCTGGTATTGACTGATGACTGTAGAAGCCTGCTTGCTGAGCGGGCTCGCTCGCTCACTGCACGTTTTAGTACGGTGCCCTGGAGGGGCCTGGACCCGAGACCAGAAGACTAAGGGCTGTCACCTGCCATTGGTTCCCGGAGGGGAGACCTTTGCGCCTCCCGGATCCCGGGCTCTGCGCGGCCCTCTGCTGTTAGGGGAAAAGGAGACCTTTGTTGATTTTTGTATCTGCTTATCATGAAGGAAGTTTTAGTTATAAGAGAAATTTTGTAACTAGATCTGGCCATAGAATTCTTTTGTATAAGAGTTGCCTTTTTATAATCTGTAGTCTTGGTTTTCAAATCCTAGTATCTAAGTGTTTGTACACATTTGTGTTTAAAACACCGTTAATTATCTCTGGAAGGATTTGGGTGTAGGTGTAGCTGTGAGGAAAAGTTTTTAACATCAAGTGGTCTTCCAGCATTTCAACACCCAGTGGTTTGTAAATTCCTGAGGTCCGCTGTGAAAGGGGGTGAGGTGGAGAGCAGAAGGCTGTGGAATGTTGATGGACCCTGTGTACCTGTGACGTAATAAAGGGTTGCCTGGACCCGCACCGGCACTGCTTGTCAGTCTGGCTTCCAGTGATTTCACTCACTGAACACAGTGCCCCTGTCAGAGGAAGCAGAGAACGATCCTCAGAATGGGCGGCTTTGGCTCATCTACTCTCAGAGCTCTTTATCTTCCATTTGTTCCCGTCTCCTGACCCCAGCATCAGAGTCTGTGCCTGTGTTTGGGGGTGTGGACCAGCCAAGTGGAACGGGGCAGACGCGTACAGTAACCTCGGGAAGAGCTCACCCTGTTCTTACACGTGTGGGTCGTTGTACAAGCTCCATCCTTGGCCATTCTTCATCCATTTCCTTTGGGATTGTTCCTTTCTAAACGTTGCTCAGAATAGTGAGTGTGACCTTTTTGATGCTGATACTTAAAACACTATACTACTGTCCTTTTATAAAAATCTACCTGTATTTGCAGAACGAATTGCCATGTTGAATGGCTGATGCTTTGGTCATCTCGTACAGGCTTGGAAATAGTTTGGTCAGTCAAGTTGCTGCCCGCCCCTTCCTTAAGACAATTCTATAAAACAATCCCTGGGGACGCAGAAGTGAGTAGACAATGTTAGGCTGGTTTTAGGGTGGTTTATGTGCAATGTGTTTTTCTACCCTAGTGCAATCTAGTAGCTTCCTCTCTCTGGATCCAGATAGAGCTGTTTGTTGGTCTTGCGGTGGAGTTCACTGGCTTCCTTGGGTTGGACTTGCTTAATACCTGCATAAGAGGATACTGCATTTGGTTTTCTTGAATTGCAAAGGCATTCATTAGGTCGGTGGTTTTTCCGTTTTACTTTATGAGGAGCAGCATCTAGAGGAAGCTTGTCTGCTGCTTTCCCCATAGATTTCAGCCAGGCATGCGGGGCAGTTCCGGCACCTGAGGCTGCGGTGGGCAGGATCTCTTGAGCTCAGGAGTTCGAGACCAGGGTGGACAGCATTTCAAAAAAAAAAATCATTTTGTCACTGTTGTATGAAAGTTGAATTGGATGAGAAATCAGTGACTTGTAAGGAGGCAGACGTTTTATTGTGTTTTTATATCTCACCTAAAGAGCCCTTACACCTACATAGATTCCTATAGGTTGACTAAAATCTTCTAGTTACAGGGAAGACCGGTGCTGCCTGGGAATGGACGCCACGGCCCTGCGCAGTGCAGACTGCCCTCACAAAGCGTGTGGGTGAATGCCCCCCCCCCCCCCCCCCCACACACACACAAATGTGCTGGACTTCCCCAGGCGAGAAAGAGACAAGGAAATAAATGTCCCTCTGTTGGGAAAAAGGTGTCGGTGTGTCTTTTCTTCACCCTTGTATTTCCTGAACTGCAACAAGAAAGATCTCAGAAGTTGGAGATGAACGAGCTCACGTAACAGCCCCCATCCAGAAGAAGGCTTTGATTTGTCCGCGTCGTTGGCCGTTTCTGCAGAAGTTTGCGGAAACGGCTCCTGCGGGCTCACCCGACACTGACCCCGGTGCTGCAGCATTCCGGTGTTGACGGGTATTTTTTTTTTTTTCCTCCTCCAAACTTGAATATTCTTGGGCACTTGGACATATGGCAGAGAAATTTTGTTCCTGATTAAGTGTGAGTTTGTTGGAAATACTCTGCACACGCCTGCCTTGCTGCTGGCTTAAACTCTGAGAGATGACACGGCCGTAATAATGACTTGTTATTAAAAATACGCAAAAGCGACGTGAAACTAACAGTTGCTTTTACAAATAAATATGCTGCTCTGTTGCTGGTTGTTCTGTTACATTTTGGGAAAGGCTGAGTGCAGAAAAGGGACGCGGAGCCAGCAAGTTGCATCCATCCCTTTCACGTGTGCGTCTTGGGATAGGTTCTTCATTATCTCTGGGCGGCTTCTTATTTCTGTTGTCGACCGTGTACCCGGATATTCCCTGGGGGGAGCAGCACGATGGGAGGTGCCACGGGCTGCGGGTTGCGCAGCTCAGGGCACAATGCTGCCAGCTCGTTTCCGCCGCCTTGTGCTGTGTGTTTGGGTTGTACGTTTTCAACAGGCCTCATGATTCAGAGTGCCAGAGAGAGACGTTTTTATCCTCTGGAAAGGAGGTAACGAGTTGGAATCAGCTCAGCCAAAACGGCAGGACAGCGTTTCTCAGGTGAACCGATTCCAGAACCCCGTGGCGGGGACGGAGAGCAGTCAGTCACCACGGAGGCTTTCTCCCGAAGATCTTGCGGTGCGTCGCAGACGAGGCTGCGACACTGCCCTTTGTGGTCGCTGGCTTTGAGTTACCGTCATCACCTAGGTGGTTTTCCTGGCAAGGAGTCTGTGCTCGCGGGTGTGCAAGGATTTCTATTGCGGGCCTGCGACCATGTCTGCTGTTGGCCAGTTGGCTGTGCTCGGCCCGTGCTTGCCCGCGGAAGCTAACTACCTGTACCGCGTGCGTTCAGCCATTTTCCCGACGGGTGATCCCTCATTTCAACATAAAAAGAAAGTGGTAGAACGCCATCCACCCTCTACCCTCCAGCCTGACGCTGTGTGTCCCTTTGCCTTTTTTATTTTCATTTTTTGCCAGTCATGGGGGTTGAACTCTGGGGCTGGGCGCTGTCCCTCAGCTCTTCAGCCCAAGGCTAGCGCTCTACCAGGTGAGCCACAGCGCCACTTCTGGCTTTTTCTGCTTCTGTGGTGCTGAGGAATGGAACCCAGGGCCTCATGCTTGCGAGGCAAGCGCTCTACCCCTGCGCCACCTTAACACGACCTCGGTATTGTTGACATGTTAAAAAACAACCCGCTGGTTCTCTCCTGAGCTTCTGTACTTGGTTTTGGTTTGGTAAAGCATGGTTCGCTGGGGGCGGCTGAGTGCGTCACTTTTCCGTGCTGCAAAACTGAAATGCCACACTCCTTAAAGGACCCCTCTGTGCTCTTCCGCCACCCTCTTTCTGTGACCTCAGCCCCCCCCCCCCCCCCCCCCCCCGGCTGTGCCGTGGGTCATCCAAGGATGACCTCACAAGACTGGGACTCTGTTGGGCTGGGGATGGAGGGCTCAGCCGGTGGGCCTGTGGCCTCTGCCCCTCTGCAGACAGCCCTGCTTGCCAGCATGTGCCCCAGGCCCGGGGGGCGGCCTTGGGCC